CAAACCTGAGTTATCGGAAGTCCTCCCGCAAATCCCTGGACTTAAAATCAGTCTGCTTACGTCCACTTCAGGCTTGATCCTCGCTTCTTGATGGTTTAGCTTGTGTCATACCTTTAACTCGACATGATCCGGTCCATTTGCTCACCCCTCCACCAACCTCGCACATCTGCCCCTAGGCAGGCCGCGCGAACGGACTTGAACCGCCCGCACTCTACCAATACATGTGGCTATCCGTAGGGTAACCGGAAGCGGGGCAGTTGTCGACTTTGCATGGGAAACAGCGAGCCTGCGAACATCAAGTGGCGGCGATGGAGTGATGCATCACCGCAATTTGACATTGTGAGTATAACACAGGAATGGACCGTTAATAGTAACAATTCATTGCTCGACGACCCAAGCTGTCAGTCAAGTGGCCAGCACACCTTGACATGGGGAAGCCTAAAGTGAAACCCTGACCCAGCGGACATCGGATGAACTAACGGATCACGCTACTGCGTCGCGTCGAGGGTCATGATTCAGATTCTAGCCCACCAGCAGATTCGCCCATGCCAAATCTGGCTGCGAGGCTTTCCGCGTTTTACCTTGTTGAGAGTCGGTTGCAACTCTAACTTAATGCCCGCGTGGAGTGAATCAAAGCGCATGCATGCGTGGCGTTCATGAGGCGTGTTCCAAGAGCGCGGATAACGGACAATCAGGGTTCAAGTACGTGACAAACCAGTCGGAAGTAGACTAGCCAGTGTCCAACGGCGGCGGGGTTCCTCAGTCTCCTTCGAATCTCGGGCCTAGGTGTCAGATACGCCCCAAAAATGTGAGAAATCACTATACCAGTCCAATAGCTCAGCAACTCGTCTTCGGACTCCGGTGTCGCACTTCCGAACGATGCTGATATCCATATCAGCGAACCATTCCCGCGCTCCCCAGAGCGAACCAACCGGCCGAATGGCATTTTCCATTCTGTCAAGAATCCATTGATCTCTTGCTCCTGCTTCTTCTCCAGATTGCAATGAAGAGCTATCTGAGATGGTCTCTCGGGCTACTGCCATTGGCAGCTGGGGCTGTACTCGCCTAGAGTAGTGTCAATATGGCAACTTCACAGATGGCGCTTTTCTCACAGATTCCTCAGTGTTCTGTAAGTATTACTAGCATAACCAAAAGTATTAATCAAGCAAGACTTACCCTTTGGACAGATCTCTTGTTTCACCAACTGGAGAGGAGCCAACGCAGATATTGAGTTGGGCTTGAGAGGTGTCTCTAGCACGAAAACACGGATGTAACGGAGCAGAGAACCGCCAGATACCCCGCCAGATTGGCTTGATAGATGCCTATGCCCTGTTTGTATTGATAATGAATTGTACGGTTACATATATATTTCACTAATATATTTAACCTTACCTATTTTGCCGAGTTTTTCTCCTGACTTGAATGGGGAGGGGATAGATGGAACTATGTCAATAGTACATCCTGACTGGACCTCAATACGCTGAGACAAATTTCGAATGGTATGAAGGCAACAGCTCGACACAAACTCCTTGCTAACGGAGGTTAGAAGTTTAGTCTTCAAATTGCTCTATGAAATCGCGCTACGGTTGACCAGACGTTTCCAGGGTCTCTAGACCCGTAGTCTATGAACGAGTTGGAGGATCGGCAAGGATCGTTGACCAATCAAGGAATTTTCAGATGTACACTACGATGCGAAAAATCGTGCGACCGAAAAGCTGGGCCCATGGGCGGGGAAGGTCCCAAGACTCGCAGAATTCCGGACCCACTACCCTACCTTCTTCTCAATGTGTCGAAAGATATTGACAAACCCAATGCTGGTATCTTCGGCCCTCTTACCAGGCCGGGCTTCGTCGACACCCCCTTTGTATGCCTTCAAGCTCTTTTCCCAGTCCAGTGTAATGCTAACGGGACTTTTCTCATAGTGCGATGAGGCGAAACCCGAGTGCGGCAACTCTCCAAGGCTCTCGATGCACTGCAACTCCCTCTCCCTTCGCCGACGAACCCGACTGCGCCATTCCCTACCGCATCGTCATTGGCGACACTGCCGAGAGAATGGGGCCGCCCCCAGAAGAACTGGGATTCCGTTCAGAAGCCAACGACCCCGGATACGTCCGACTCCGATGCGGCCAAGACACCGCGCGTATTGGCTCTGCCACTGACCGAACCGGCGTTGCCATCGCTGGCTAATGCTAGTAGCCTCGACATTCTAAATCACCATTCCATGTGCCATCCAGCCATTACGCATGGCGATGCTTCTTACGATCTCAGATCAGCACCTTGCGAGGCTTCGACTAGCACAGTCCGATCATTACGAGACTTTTGCAGAGCGACACTTAACAAGCGCGTTGCTGGCAAGGACCAACCTCATCCCACAGCTGATCAAGATCAACTGTTAATACCTATACCATACCACTATCCTCGTCTGTCCCTCGACATGTGCGATGAAGCCAAGCCCGGGGCACCTCTTTCTTATTCAATGTGGAGGATGGCGAGGTCCCTTGGCGGGGGCTCATGGGTAGCGTTCGTGGTATCTTTCGCATTATGGGCTTCCCGACTATCTTAGCTAGGTGGTTGACAACGCTGTAGCCTACGAACACCTCAACGCATTGCCCTCCGCTACCTTACCCCGTACATAAGATGGTGGAATGGGAGGAGCGACTTGAAAGACTCTTCGATCTGGTGGCCACCGCCCATGATCTTGGACGCAGAACGTTTATGGAGTCGTTCAGTTTGTTGAAGGACTGCTTTAGGGTGGCATTTGAGACCGCCTGACCCCGAGATGCGTGTCCAGGATAGATCGACATCGTCATGCGTTGGCTTTTCAGCATGAACGGCACCTTTATGATCCGTTGGCGGGAGAAGCAAGCTTCACCCCTTGTTCTCCTATGTCACGTTGTGTTGTGCAGCCGCCTAGCATTTCTGGTCCAACCAGAACACCTTGTTGGACTGATCAATGCTCTAGACGCCCAACATGCCCACTGGTTCGTGTGGTCGGCCGAACAGCTCCAGCGACCCGGAACTGTTGACCAGGGTGTATTATTGATGCAGAAGATGGCTGACTAAGCACTATCACAATGCCGTTGTCCAGCTGTCTTTCATCCTCGCCTCAAGATACCTGGCTCTTCACCCCTGCTCGTCGTCCTGTGCGCTTTGGCATCGTAAAAACCCGAATCTGAAGCCCGATCCCCAAGGTGGCTCTAAAATGCTGCGGCGACGAGGTGCACTTGAGAAAGCCCGCACCACTTAGGTAGGTATTTCTGCCCTGTCAACATCCGGAGGCATGTCGTTGCCTGTCTTTGAGGCTTCTATGCAGCATTTCCGCTGTTTCACTCATCAATTCAACCCACTTACGAGCAGTGTTGAAACATGAGGATAGATACCCATAGCTTATTGTATCTTGTAGATGAAACAATTCATCTGCTGGGTGATCTAACGATTCCTCTTCACAGCTAAGAATAAGGCATTGCTGTTGCATATTAACTTATCAGAACGAATGATATGTAATCCGATGTGATGCGCGCATGCTTGAGCAGGGCATTCGTCCTATTCTGTGCAATTAGTAAACGACTATGTTCCTCTATAAATATGATCTCAGTACTCCGTCCCTTCAGCAACAATGCCGACGACTTGGAACCGATCGCTATAATGTAGCGTGCTTGCAGATGACTCAGCGTGGTTCAGATCAGCCGTTTAGTGGATCAGATCAAAAGCAGTGGATGCTTGCCATATCGTGAGAAGCCGTGCCATATTTGAATGAAGGACAACCGATCATGACCGCATGTGTAAAAATAAGAAAATATACCCATTGTCAGAAACCCCCCATATTCTTGAGCTTCTGGCAAAGGTTAAGCGATATGCCGACTCTTATTTTGCCGCTTTGCGCAAACTTTTACAAGGCCTCATCAACGAATGCGATTTCTGACCGCTATTCTTCCGAAACGTGGGAGTCTGTAAACCCTCTCATCTCCAGGATCAGTGCAACTGCTCCTTGCAATGTCATCCACACACCCTTGTTACGGCCTGTTTTGTCTTAGATCGCCCGCATGAGTCCCTGGTCACGAGACCACAGGCTCGGAACTAGCATCCATCGACAGTCCCACCTGAAGAAGATTCATCCATTGAGCATCTAGCACAAAAACTCTAATACTGGCGGTGAGTGGGTGTATGGTTCGTCTCTCAAGGCTTGTGATGCAACAAAAGGCGCCGGTGGTGTGGGTGAAAGCGTTCCAAACTCCCGGTCCCTGGATGAGCCAAGCGCCACTAAGTTAAATCTCCGAAGCTATGTCCATAGAAGCACTGGGTTTAAGGAACCTAGGAGCTAGTCTAGGGGTATCTCGTGGCTAGATAATAAGAGTGGTACCTGTTCAATTACCTGGACTCGTGGATGCAACCGGTTAGTCTGGGCATGGTGCCTCCCCAGGCAGATTTGGTCGAGACCTTGTCTCGACACTCAACACTGAACAACTTATCGGAATGAATCAATCCCAATCATTAAGAGACTATCTGAAATAGCCACTGAATAGTTCTTGTAAGCTCAGACATAGCGTAAGCCAGTGGCTCTTTCGAGGCAACTATCCTAAGCTTTCGTGCGCTACTGCTAAGACATTGATTGCCCTCACTCGTTGTGAGGCCATTCGGTGCTCTTAAAAGTCTGGAAGTGCATCCAATTTCGTCTTTCTTGAACCATAGCCTTTAGATACCGTCTATTCGAATGCTGGATTTTTTCCCCATTCCTAATTGCGACAAAATCCGCTTGTTGACGGTGGCGGACGGGGCCGGGATGCCCTGATCGCAATTGCGATCGAAGATTGCTTCTTAGTCGCAAGCTGCCCCGTCGAGCCATGGATCGCGCTCTCTCTTTCCTTCCCATCCCGATATTACCTCTCTGTCTCTGTTGAGTATTCCGTAGTCTTTTATCGCTCCTTATATCACTGTTTGTACGGTCTTTCTGTGACATTCCGGTTGATGGCCACTCTTCATGTCTACCTGACTTGAACCGAATGGTGCTCAACAACACGCCAAAGAGGCAAGTTACCCAATCGGGTGTAAGCCGGCCCAACACGGGGCCACAGAGCGCTAGAGTCTTGAACTGAGCTGACTGTTAGTTCGTCTGAGAGCAGATCTACGAGATCGCAGGGTCATTATACTCGGCAACAACAGCCTTCATTTTCACTCAGCTCGGTTGTTAACAGCGACCCAAAGTACATTGCATCAAACAACCGGCTTACAGAAGCCTGGGTTCGGGAACAGCAAGCCACGTTTCCCGCCAACCTCATCAAACTTAGGACCGAGGCCAAAGTCACAGAGCACCGTGTCCAGCATATTTATCAAATCGGAGAAGAAGTTACCGAGAATCTCGCAGCTTTTGGGGTTTCAACCAAATAATATTATCATCAGTAATCATGGGCGAGAGCAGCAAACGAGTCCGGCAGCGAAGCCGTGAATCAGCCACTCATGGCAAAGCAAGCCAAGTCTTGGATGCCAAACGACCAAAGCTTACAACGAATGTGCCTGTTGAGGTTATGCAGCAACCCACACCGCAGTCGCCAATGGGTTGGTCCAGCATGAAGGACTTCTTGATGACAGAACTGAGAAGAGAAATGGGATTACCCCTGAACCGCCCTCAATGTCAAGACAATATCGACGAGAAAAGTGTCAATCTGGCTTGCCCCCTTTTCATCAGGAATCCGGCTGCTTTTACCCATGTCCGGAACTCATGCACCGATGGGAACATCAAGGGTGGAATCGGCAAGCTGATGTAAGCCGAAAGATTCTGATCAAATATTCAAGGCTCAGGACTGACACACTCCAGCGAGCATATCAAAAGAGTCCACTTGAGAACCGACAAGCAGTGCCACAACTGTGGAGTCCGCTTTAGCTCAAAGCCGGCGGAGTCCAAGTCGTCGCACTCGCGCAATTGCACGAAAGTGTGGTCGCCTCACGAACCCCCACTCCTGTCGGAAAGTCAGCAGCGAGTCTTGGACAATCTGTCTGTAAGAGCCAGCGGACAATCGCTAGACTACAAGTACCGTCACAAGCTTCTCATGAAGCTTTACCCGGGCCACGAGGAATGGGCGAAAAAGGTCGAAATCTGTAGGTCGATCGCTGAGTTCCTGGACTAAAGGGTGTGGCGCTAACGATAACATAAAGACCACGACGCCTATTCTCCCTGTCTCCTACCGACACAGCTCATGTTCGACGCCATGGAGAAAGCCGTTGACAGGTGGGAGAGGGGATATAACACCCATTATGACTCTGATGGAAGCGATGCCGATTCGGACAGGTCACGAGGATATCGACGGTTCTCCGGGTCAAGTCCCAGTGCATCATCTTCAACGGACGCTTCAAGCGCCTATCCATCGACTAGCTCCGGTGTCTACAGTCGGACTATTGGAAATGGCAACAGCTACAGCTCACAACATACTTATCAGCAATCTGGCTACCAGGACCAGAACTGGGGCATGGGCAACATGTCTTTGGCAACCGGATCAACACAACACGCAAGCACGGCAACAGCTGATCTGACATCAAACGTACCACGCAAAACCCGCGCAAGCAGTCGGCCAGTGGACAGCGATTACACCGACATGCAACTTCAGTCGGAGTACCAGAGCTACGTTCATTCCGGGGCACTAGATGACTTTGATGAGCTAGCCAGCTCATCTTATATCGAAGGTTTCGAGCCTGTGTTTGACGTAGTTTCCACTGTGCCCTCTGACTATCAATCATACACCTTGGACGCTGACCAGGGCTTCCCCATCGACTACCCAGCTCAAGGCCACTACTCCAAGAACACTATCAATCCGAAAGACATTCACAACACACTCATAGGGATGGGGTCAGCAACGATGCCGAGATACCTCATAGAGCACGAGGAAGATTCGGGGATTGTTCTTCATGATACCCAGGAATATTTGGGCTTTGCGGGACAGGCCAGGAGAACACGCAGATGAGATTTGCTAGCTTCTGCTCAACGACTGTGACAATTTCTTATGTCTATATATATTTTAACTTGGAAGTTTAGGGATGGACAGTTTGCTAGTCATGAAATGGATCAGGGGCGCAAAGGTGTGATGCAGTAATGAATTCCTTATCTCTGATGGCATTGCCATCATTGCCCGTCATCATTCACACTCAGTGCGGCCAACTTTGCAACCTTTGTACCCATATCCTGTGTGAACTTTGCTAAGGATGCGAGTCAGGTTGAGGTGCCCAAGCAACGTTTCTGAATGTTGAAGGTAATGCAAATAAATCGCACTTATCAGTTCAAGCTAGTGCCTATGCGGCCCATCCTAACCTCATCAAAGGACCGACCAACAAAGGCATTTCAATATCCACCCCGAGACTATCAGCACCCGAGGGAGCGGCTGTAACTGTGGGCGCAGCTGTATCTGAGATGCCGCTAGGTTAGATGTCCTGGCCACCTCCATTTACTGCTTGTTTCGGTCACCTGTGCCGAGGCGTTGGCAATGAGCAGATTTGAAACCGCATTAAGTACATTGACCGCTTCGCCAGCGCCTATGATGTTATTGGTGTTATCGTTGGTCTGCGGATCATAAGATACCCTATCGGCCTAGCAGATTCCGCACCGGTTAGCGAGACTTGACTTTTCGGCGTTGCACTGCTTCACTGCGGCTTTAGCAGAGCTTCTCAACACAGGCGGCACCTTATTCGCAACGAATGGGCTAGTTGGATGGCAGATGACAGCCAACCATACTTGTATCAGACAGCATACAATGGTAGAGCCCTTTCTTAATCTGGCAAGCAATTTTGTACGCAGTTCCATTGGCGAAGAAGATCGTTAAAATGAAACCAACTAGCTTCTCAGTTCTCTCACGCCGGAGATCAGAACCGTCGGTCGGGGTTCAATTCGGCTACTGACGTTTGGTCACGCATCCAGAGCTAGTAGAACTAGCGAGACGAACAATGTTGTCTAGCAATGCGGCGCCTTGCACAAGCACTGCAGCGTTATAAGAGAATTGGGTTCTATTGATGTTGGTGTAGTTGGTCTTAACGTGAGCTCCGTCGTACGCAGCCCAATTAAAACTGTGAATGAGTCCAATTCCGGAAATATGACCTAAGTCTTCTCAGCCCATATGGAACAGGCGGGGTTTGCAGTGTATCGCTCGCGACGAGCTACTATGTTGAATAAGCAAACGTTAGAGGATGCTACAAGTAAGTTCAGTTTCATCATCCCTCAAGCGCAGCGTTTCCCGGTGCCGGTTACTTACTTGACTAGCATTGCCATTGGAATTGTGACTGTAAGTTGGCAGGGACTGGGCTGTAATTTCGAAGGAGTGTACTTACGTGTATTTTAATACATGGTGAGATTGTTGAATGAGGCAGTAACAGGTAGACCCACGTCAGGTTTATAAGACCTTGCTGTCTAAAATGTGTTCATGACCTTCATGGTTAGGGTCAGACTTTGTTGGTGGATTTTCAGCTGCGAAATTAGTCAATGGAGTAGCGAGATGCCCGGATATCTTCATAGTATTATATTTCTACCAAAAGCCTTCTCTTGTGTTCAGTACTAGATATGATGTTTAATTTCAATATGTAACTTGGTGTGGACTGCTCTAAGTCTACTGGATGATGAGAATAATAAGTGCTGAGAATATTGTAGAGCCTTGTTCCTTCTAAAAGAATGACTCTTTTAACCACTAATCTTAGCACCCGTACAGATGCTGCGCTTTCAGAGATTTCACCTGATTCTCCTTATTGGTTCTCTTTCGCTATTTGCTCATGATTTCGCCTCAGAATATAGTTTGTCTACATGTCATGTTAGTGACTACCTGTCTCTAGTCGATGCAGGTTGTTCCCGCTAACTTGTCTGCTCAACCCAACATACCCTCAAAGATGCTCCCTAGCGCTTGATCGAAGGTTCGTTATTCCTCTGTTTTTTCAACTTCCCTTTGATTGATTTCGCCGTCCAGCACATATTCCGCGTCTTTGGTGCCATTTACGGTGCCCTGGCTCTTATCGCTCTGGTTGTAAGCTCCCTTTTTGGGCACTTCTTCAACCTGAGCGACTTTTGGCGTGGCTGCATCCTCCTTATTGTCGCCTTCTTTTTCTGCATCCAAAGCCAGAGCTTTAAGTGCCTTCAGTCTCTTCAACGCCTTCTTCTTTTTCGCTTTACGCTCCGCTGACGCTCTCTTGTGCTTTTCTGCTTCATCCATAATCACCTTCTCCTGAACAATCCAACTCGAGATGCAATCAGTCGCTTTCTCGGGCGAGTTCCGGTGATGAAGCAAGTAGCCTTGTAGTTGTGCTGGCGTGAAAACGTCGTCCGGTATCTGGCTGCTGAACCTTTCCGCGAGTTGGCCGATATTATCTACATGGTTCTCTGGATACTCAACACCCTTCTCACTAAAAGTGTTTTCGTTCGATACATATGGCCGGTACATGCGCTCAAACATGCCCTTGGCACTATGTCGTGAAATATTTCCTAAATATATCATTCTGTCAATCCGGCCAGGTCTAACCAAGGCTCTATCAAGTTTGTGAGCCACGTTGGAGGTCATCAAGACGATTCGACCCTCCTGAGACGCGACCCCGTCCAAGACATTCAAGAGTCCCGACAGAGTGCAGCGACACCTTCCGAAGGACCTTGCACTCTCCTTGTCACTGTCGCTGTCGCTGTCGTCAGATGCAGTATCCTCTGGGTCGAACTTCTTCCGGTGCTGTAATCCGATTGCGTCGATATCTTCTAGCAGCACAATGCACTTCGGTGGAAGTGCTGCGAAGAGATTCTCCAAGTCATTATCGTCTCTGATACTTGGGATATGAAGTAGGTAAAGTTCAAGGTTGAAGTAGCTCGCAAGGGCGAGAGACAAAGACGTCTTGCCCGTGCCTGGTGGTCCGTGGAAGAGGTAGCCTCTTCTGTAGGGAATACCTCTTTCGGTGTAAAACTTCCGCGTCTTCTGGTTAAGATACATTTCTATATCGAGTACGAGTTCCGTCTTTGTCTTCTCATCAAAATGCACAGTCTCCAGTGGCCTTATCGGGCGAAGAATGGTCGTGTCCCAGGATTCCTGGTTGTATTGATTCTTTGTCGCTCTGACTGTAATGAAAGCTTCGCGCTGCCTGTCCGCGAAGTCTCGACAGTTATTGAGAAAGTCCTTGACTGGTTGGATGGAACGCCCGAGTCGTAGGACCACCAACGGCTCATCGCCTTCGGGGGCAGCGGAGTATTCGTCAGGAATGCCGGTGTAAACAGAGCGGTTAGTCCTGGTAGATACTCGTCGTACCATGAAAAAACCCCCTTCATACACGAACCAGGTCGTACCAAAAGTCGGTAGGTACTGAACGGGAACCCTCTTCTCGTGATGAAGGTCATCACGCTCGACTGGCTTTCGATAGTACCATGCCTCGTTCTGGATTACCTCGGTCCGTGCGGTCAAGACGCGAGTCCCTTGCCTGGTGAGAACATGAGCACCCAACCAGTTCAGAACCTCTCTATTGAGCTTGTCATTGGCCCCTATAGAGATAGAGGCGGTGAAGAACCGCGTTATCCACCAGTAGATTTGGGTTCCCAGGTTTTGAAGGCCGGTCAAAGCCCTCGGGATGTCTCCGCCGAAAGAGATGAGAAGAACTATCGTGGTGAGATCAAGTCTGAGCCATGTCGAAAAGAATTTAGACAGCGTTCCGAAGCCCGGCGCAGTGCGATCCAGAAATTGGTGGAACCCTTGAGATGTTGGATCTCCGCCGCCAGAGAGAAAGGACGCTTTAGTGAGCCTAAGGATGTCACTCATGACTGTGTTCTTGGTGTGGTAAATGGTGACTATTATGTTTCGTGCGAGCGATTGGGTTTAGCCTTGCTCTTATGAAAGGCCGTTTGTGAGGCAAACAGGGAGACCATGCATAAGATCAGGCAGAAAGTGTGCTGCCTAAGTTCCCTTACGGCTGCCAGCTTACCCTTAACTCACCATCGGCAGCCGCACTGCTGCACTAGTCGCCTCAGAATCTCGAATGTGGCTGAAATCTATTTGTTGAGTCTACTGCAAAGCTGACCTCGTTTGGTAGCCAATCGTTGGAAGGACAGCCAAGAATCGTGAGACGTGACGATAACCAATCAGTGACCGGTTATACTTTTCCTGCATATATATCCGTTGGAGCCATTCCGTAGTATAGATAATGATAGGTTGTGTTACACACCTGCGGAACATCAGACTTGGGGCTTCCACAATATCGTCTTGGTACGGTGTGCGAATTCTTACTTTGTTGGCCTCCGCCGAAAGCAAGTCACCAAGTCAAATTGCAATAGTAATGAGCTAAGAGATTCAGAGAGTAAGTGATTTCTCACTTGAGAAAGAACACTAAAATGATGAGAAGTTTAGCAGATTTGGATACCAAAGCCTTCCTACAGTACACGTCAAACGATCTCGAACTCTGTGGTCTCGCCTTCTCCTGTCTTTAATGCTCGCGGCCATAATAGAGCCATTCCGACCCGTATTTACCTCGTCAATGTGTCATCGACTGGCTGAAGAAGCAACGCCCAGTGAACTTCCTCAGACCGTGCGGCTTCAGAGATATCCACACAAGCGTCCTATTCAAATCAGCCGCAATGCCGTAGTATACGCCAAATGTAGGAGCAAAATCTTACAGTATCCCCATGCCCGCAGTCGGCGCGTCCGCATTCGCTTGCTTCAACGGATGTGTTATCATCACCGTCTTTAACGACACTTTCTTCGAAGGGGCCATCAGAATCTTCATGAGATGCCACCGGCGTCATCCTTGATGGATAGACCTCGAGAGGGAAATTCTAATTCCCCTTCTGGCTGGCTGAGTCGGCACGACTCATGGTGATCCAGGCAGTTGTGCAGGAACATCCGTACAAGGCCGCTTGGTTCTTCTGGGCTTCCCTGAAGTATTGGAGGCCAGCCGACGAAGGGGCTGAGCGTCGGTGTTTCTGTTGTAATCGGACTAGAACTGAGTTCGGGTTCCGAGGGATCTTTCACACCAGTCAGACAACATGCATCTATGCCAATAACACCAATGTGGCAAGCGCACCTTCGTCCGCCCAAATTGAAAATTCCAAGCCGCATCCTCCATGACCAAATGGATCACAATAGAAATCGACGAGTGACATACGGTTCTCTTCACCATGCAGTCTGCTCTTTCCTAAAGCCACCCGAATCTCAAACGATGAATCGTTTGAGTCTGGGAGGTCGAGTGCTGATTTATAGTGGGCGTTCAGGAAATGATATATCTTTCGGCATAGCCGACAGTCCTTTTCCGACTCTCGTATACCTCTTCGCTCATCTGGATTGCACACATAGCCTAGATATATGCCTGTAAACTCACGAGGCCTCAACGTGTGATAGAAAAAGTCGCGACAGGTGCCGCAGGATTCCATGACACAGTTCAATCGTCAAAAGTGGTGAAAGACTTTGACAATATAAACACGGGTCAACCAAGAGAGAGGATTATGCTGGCGCCCAAATGCCAATAGCTTCGTGCGAAGTGGACAAATCGAGGTCTGCGAGGAAGAATGCTAGGAGCTGACATGATGAAAAGGAGGGGTTAAGAATCGAGGGACACAACGACTAAGACATAAACCCACAGGCAACAGAGATTTAAGCGATCTGTATGTATTCTTGGTCAGGCAGCCTGGGCTTCAAGTGCTAGCCCGACGGTGCCGACTATCCGGTCAGCCGGCCTGGCCGGCTGCTGGCGTTCTCACGGTAACTATGTGGACGTTATCTCAGCCAGTAGGCTAAAATAGCTACGCAGACAACATAATTATGTAATAGACCCCTATTCGGCTAATGGCTTCGTTTGGGCACTAGTCTTCTGCGAATGTGCCTGGCTTACCCACATTCCTAGCTCAACTAAGTTGCGCAACCGAAGGGCAGCGGGTGATCTGGCTGCACCTGAACCACAGAGCGGCATTATCTGGCGAGTTCCTTTGCGATACATCTAGTATACAGCTATATGAGACTTAAAACTATATAGTTATCAATACGACTAGATCGCAAGCTTCGGCATTCAGATCAGTGCTTGATGATGAGTTACTTGAAGGATTAAATTAACTCATACCGAAATTCTTCGAGCTGTCGATCTCGCAACTATAAACAATACATCAATTTCTTGATCGTAGTTGATGGCGAAGAATGAGAGAGCTAACTTTGCATCGAAAAATGCGTGGGAATTGTATACATACCAAGTACAATGTCACGAATAAGAATGAGGTACTTGGGCAAGAAAGCGGGCCCACAAACATACAACTATGGCTGGCTTCACTCAATCATACACAACATCCCCGTTCTGTTAACGTTTCGCTCGAGAAAGTCTCAATACTACAACGAGAAACTGCAGTCGGCTATAAAACAGACCTGGGGGCATTCCAGTGTTTCGGCTCAGCAAAAGTCACGTCTGAGTTCTCCATCTTCAGCCCGATCTGCCAACGCCCGAGACCCGGCCAGAAGTTCTCGTGCTCGCCAACGAGATTCCCTTTTTCGTCTGCTTGCCGAATGTCGAACCATCCCAGGCTCGCCCTTCTGCAGCTCTGACCGGGCGATATGCTGCACCATCGATCTGTCCCAGGCAACTCACCTTGACTGCCGTCACCCTCTGGAAGCGGAGGCTGAACGAGGGTCGGGTCCACACCCATGTACTTGAAGATACCAAGCGAGAGAGGGAACGATGGGACGTATGGGATGGGCTTAAAGGTTGCTTGGAACAGCGGAGTGGCGCTCGCGGATGCTTCCTTGACGTCACCCGACGTGTCATGGGGGAAGACCTTGACGCTTGTGCTGCCGTCCGCGTTCGTCTTCCAGTCGAAGGCGGCGAGATGCTTTGGAATATTCCAGTCTGGTGTTCGATGTCAGCAGCGTGCGCTGGTTAGGCTAACCTCTTCGTCTCAGAATCACTGCGACTCACTCTTCCGGCCATTCCAGCAGGTGTACTTTTGAGAAACGTATATTCGTGTGATTCTTGCGTTCTTTTTCTTGATGCGTTTTCCATTCTCCTCGACGGTATACTCATGAAAGCCCGGGCACAGAATCAATTCGTCATATGGACCAACAGGACTCTCGGTATATCGGATAATCTGGATCATGCTGATTCCGCCCAGCGGCCTGCTGCCTTCCGGGCGGATGAAGGACGAGTTCGCTTCGAGCGGGGAGTAAGTGATGGTGGGCGGGTGCACTGCCTGCGGTCCGGAGACCCAGAAGCTGAAGAGGTAGATGTCGCCCTTGAGCTTCCACGGTGCTGGAACAGGGGTGATATCGTTGGGCGCCATGTTGACTCTCGTTACGGCAGACCAAGAGACCCACAACAATTCCAAGCTTAGGACAATAGAGTGCTTACACAGCGATGCTATCGACCAATGCGAAGCTTAGAAGCGCGGTGTAGTTGAATCGTGAAATACGGGGCCGGTTGTTGGAAAATGAACGATGCAGCGCGTTGTGGGGGGACCAGACGCGCTATCTGTACCTTATATTCACCAATTATCCGCGCCATGCCCCGTAGGGAGCGCCGCCTTCAGACAAAACATGGAAACGGGTAGCCGGAAAGGTGTATGGCTTTTTCGAAGGTGACGTTCCTCGCCCAAAGAGGCAACCGAATCGTGCGTGGGCTGACAAGTACCGAGGCCCGTGCGAAGGGGGCAAGGGCTCACCCCGCAAAGAGGAATATTGATGGTAACGCCGCTTTCACGTGCACTCCATAATTCAAGTCAACAGAACGTTCTATGTTGTATCTTAAAGAACCACTTGACATAACCCAATATGCTGCAAATGAACAGTTGAAATCTGCATCGTGCGGTGGTTCCTCCCCTAAAAATAAGTTCACGACTGTGAGAGGGTGCCTGCCTTGCACACCTGTATGATCACGAGGGGAAATGTTCTAAATATCAATTATTGATTATTTCATCAACGAAAAGTCATCTTACACATATCAAAGTTCCATCAATTGAAACGGCTTGTGCCAGGTTGAGAAAAGTATGACGAGATTTTTGGCACAAAAACTTGACGATGTGTTGTTGCATTTAGCCTGGTTGTTCGTATTGATGCATCCTCACTTCCCGAGACACCTTTGGGCACGCTACTCCAAATTGCCCATTATCACACGCCATCACCTGCATTAGAAGATAGTATATGTGACTGGACTCTTGGCATTGTATAGAGCAATTGGGTTTTAACACCGGCCAGAAGCGATCTCTATCGGGTCATACATAACGTAATTTCCTCATACCAGGCAAACCAAGTTAGATCGATCTACCTCATTTGGGGGGGCTTGATGATAAACGCAGCAAATATGGGGCTGGACGGTGTACGCTTCTTTGACTGAATCCCCGCGCTGGGACTTGCTAGCCGAAGTGGATCCGGGAATTGGGATCATGCCTCTCTGATCGGATAATGATACCCATCGATCTATCTCTCCGGTCTGGTTAGCAAATCAGAGGCACTCTTGACACCTGTTATTGTGTGACAAAGAAATAATAGCCAATAGCCATGTGAGAAAAGACAGATAGGTTCGGGTATTTGAGATGAAGTATGCGGTGTGAGAAACCATTCTCTCTATACACCTATAAGGGAGTTCTTGGTCAGAGTCTACGGTCTATAAGGCGATCGAACTCAATTTGGGTGGCTGTTCTCTTTCTTCGGAACAACTTTCATGTTAACGCATAGTCCACGCCAAGCTATGGTGTCCCATCTCATGCAAGAGCTGGAGGATAGGAGGTACATCTATAAAACGAACATCCAACAGGTACGCTTCCAAGTTTCCGAGCTTGAATCTCTGTGATCTTGCACCTCGATTTTATACGGAGATACAGAGCTGTGGGGGGGGGGGGGGGCGGGGGTTCTGGGAGGCTTGCACAGGGACACGACGATCTTGGAATACAGTAGGAAAACTCAGTGTAAGCATTATGTTCAATACTCTTAGCATAATAAAAACACAAGATTCCTGAACAAAAGCACAGAAAGCACGCTAGAGGTATTCATACCGTAATTCTATTCACATGCAGCCTGGGTAAAGTGGAAGGATTGGATTCCATTCATGTAGTCCGGACGATTGTTCGACGTCGTGTCAAGGTAAATTCCTTGGTTATCGGATGACCAACGAACCGGTGTAACCTCATTGCTTACCCCGGATGAAAGGCCGAAGATCCCCGACATTGAAACAATACTTTTGGCCAACCATTCAGTACATTGGGTTAGGGGTATTGACCCCAACTTCGCTGCGGCTGTTTAAGAGGGCAAACAACCTCCCTGCAGTAATGTTTCGGAAACTTCAAGTACATAAGGGCCGGGAATATCCCACCCCATTTTTGCCTACGAACGGTATCAGACAGTCTACAACACGTTTCCCCGCATCCGGCAGCCAATCTTTTGACGCGAAACCATGCCGGCAGCTTCGGCCATCTATCCTAGCCTGAACGGCAAGACTGTGCTCATCACCGGCGGTGCGGAGGGTATCGGAGCCGCCGCGGTCGAGCGCTTCGCTCTTCAAGGCTGCCAAGTCATCTTCCTCGACATCGCCAGGGCCTTGGCGCAGAGAACCATCCAACATGTCATGTCACTTGCCAGCGAGACCGGTGCCAACCCCAACACCATCAAAGCACCCGTGTTCTACTTTTGCGACCTTTCCAACTTGAGCGAGGTTCAAGCCACAACCAGCGAGATCCTCGAAAAGTACGGAACAGTCCATGTCCTGGTCAACAACGCGGCACTCACGGGCCACAAGGCAAGACTCAGCACTGGAGAGGTCACCTCCGAGGCGTGGGACATGAACATAAACACCAGCCTGAGGCACGTCTTCTTCCTGACGCAGGCCGTCCTTCCCGGGATGAAGCAGGCCGGCGGAGGCAGCATCGTGAACCTGGGCTCTATCACGTGGCGCATTCCTGACCCAGCCACGCCAGTCTACGGCGCCTGCAAGGCCGCGGTCATGGGCCTCACCCGCGCCCAGAGCAAAGAGGTCGGCCCGTTCAACATCCGCATCAACAGCGTCATGCCGGGCGCCATCGCCACCCAGAGGCAGAGGGAGGAGGTCTTGACACCAGAGTATCGCGCCGAGGTGATGCGGTCGCAGAGTCTGCAACGTGATTTGGTGCCGGAAGACGTGGCAAAGGTGATTGTTTTTCTGGCTAGTGACGAAGCAAGCGGTATAACAGGTAGTAGTTATGTTGTTGATGGAGGTTGGTGTAGCGACCCTTGAGATTCCTCAAGGTATACTCTCGACTCGCGGTCCCGTGACGCAGATATACATACACAACCATCTTACTAGAGGCGTCTTCCTGACAAAGGGTGAAATGACAACTGCAATACAATGCCAGGTAAGGGGTCAACGAATGGTCGACTGAGGGTATCTGATTCGCATTAAATCTCTAAAGTAATAGCAAAGTTTTCCTTGGTCCCTGTAACGCCATGCCATGTACCACCCCACAATCCACTGTTCCGAGTCTTTGTTCCTTTAAAAGGCAATTCTGCGTTTCCGTCCGGTATACTTGGAGGTAGACTTAACGACCTTACCTTTCCTTTCCATCTGCTCCTTCTTCTTGACAATCCACGCCTTGCTTCCCTTCTTGATCTCACCCTTGCCGCTCTGCTGCGCATTGGCCTTCCTCCGCGCGTCCTCGACGTCGACGTTGTCCATGCCCTCCACGACGTTGGTGATGTCGCCGCCGCGGCCGCCCTCGGCCGTGCCGCCGACGGTGAGGACGAGGTAGATCTTGACGTTCTTTGTCTCCGGGTCGTCCTCGAGGAGGCCGGCGCCGAAGCCGGCCTTGACGGCGGCCTGGGTGATCATGTTGCGCTGGGTGTCGTTCTTGGGGTAGAACTGACAGACGGCGCGGCCGCCCCTGCGTAATGAGGCGTAGAGTCCATTGAAGAATCTGGTGAGGCGGCCCTCAGGGGAGGTGTCGCTGCTCTCGGCGTTGCAGAGCCACTGAATGGCGGAGATGCTGATGGCGGCGTCGAAGGAGCCAGCGCGGAAGGGCACACCCTGGCCAATGTCGGCAAGGAGTAGGTCGCCCTCGACGTCGCGCTGCAGAGCGATGTCGAGCATGGAGGGGGAGACGTCCATGCCGATCCAGGTGTGCGGCCCGCCATCCTCGGGGCCCTCGGCGGAGAGGATCTCGCCGGACAGACCGCTGCCGCAGCCGACGTCGAGGATGAGGGAGGGGTGCTTGAGATCGAGGAGCTCGAGGGCGCGGCGGGTCATGGACGCCTGGATATTCTGAATACGGGAGCTCGTCGTGTACTTGCGGGCTTCGGAGTCATTGTAGTGAATGTCGGCCGCGCTGAGGAGAGGGAGGGGGAGAACATGTCAGTTGGTTCCGTTGCCGTGGAGGGGTTTAGGGGAAGGAACAACGGCTTACAGTGTGTCCTCAGGGCGCGACATGATGGGCAGATTCTGGCTGGCGGTTGGCCGTGGTTGTGCAAATGGGAAGACTCCTGTCGTTCTATGAATCCGTACACTTTGTCGTCGCGCCGGCGCATCGGGAAATCGGGCGGTGAATTTTGTGTCGTGGGAAATCCTCAAATTTCGCAGCTGGGGGGGAGGGGCGGCTAGTTATCGATAAGATAGGTGTTATCTTCGCTATCGATAAGGATTCCAGCCTCTGGTGGGGTCGGATTCGGATCGGGTCTCCCTTCAGTATGTGACGGATCAAGACATTGCCCGAGAACCCGGCGCAAAGGCCACGCTTGCGAAAGAAACCCGACGTGCTGTGTGGCCCCCAATCCCTCCCTCCGCCCACCGTCATAGCTCCGGTGCCATTGCGGGTACAAGGTAGCTCTTCCGTGGTTCAAAAGTAATTAATATACATCATCGCCGTCGTCCACCGACGGTTGCCACATTCTCGTCTTGAATCCCATCTCCTTCATGCCACGCCCTGCGGACCCTCACAACTCAACAACGTCGCCATGTGGATTCTACCTTTAGTCGGCTACCTCGGCTCCATCGTGGGCTTCTGTTTCTTGACCCTGGCCATCGGTTCGTCTTAGTCCCAGGCCTCCCTTGGACAAGTGCAAATGAAACCCGCGCTGACACGCCTTGAATAGCTTCGGGTCTGTACTATCTTTCGGAGCTCGTCGAGGAGCACACCGTGCTTGCGAAGCGCCTGCTCACGAAGCTGATTTACTCCGTCATTGCCCTGCAGCTGTTGCTGTGCATTGTCGACGGGTTCCCCTTCAAGTTGACCCTCATGGGCGTTGTCTCCCATGTCGTCTATCTCGGAAACATGCGACGGTTCCCCTTTGTCAGATTGACGGACCCTCTATTTCTCGCATCTTGCGGTATGTGCAACGATATCCATCGGCTTGGTTGGGAAGCTCCAGACTAATAGCAGCCTTTTAGGCCTTGTCCTTGTCAACCACTACCTCTGGTTCCGCCACTTCTCCGCTGCCCAGCAAAGATCGTACTCCAACATGCACTCCTACCACGACCAGCCTGATATCCCAAGCTTTACCGAGATCGCCTCATACTTTGGCCTGTGCGTGTGGCTGATCCCCTTCGCCCTCTTCGTGAGCTTGTCCGCGAGCGACAATGTTCTTCCAACAATGGGTAGCGAGGATCCCCTGCGGGACTCTTCCGGCAAGAGCAAGCGGCAGGGATTCGTCAAGTCCATCGTTGATACCGTTCTCGGCGCCATGGGTGAGGTGTTCAGGACGATTGGCTGGGAGCGCAGCTGATCAAGGCTCGTTGGGCAAGTGCGCCAGGATGTATAATACGACACTTAGATGGAGCATGTCATCTGTGTAGTACGGTGGCCATAAACCGCCATTACGAAAGGAGTAAATGTCCCTCGAATTACGGCAGATGAATAGATACCCGGAGAGTCCCTCCAACTGATGTTGCTTGTTTCGACTGGCAACTCCGGCACGAAACTGCCTACTGGACTGAAATGGCCCGACATGTATACGCGGGCTTTTTGATACGGTGGCTATGCAATCTGGTGTGACCTGACTGGGACTTTTTTTTTCTTCCAAAACGGCCTCGAACAAAAAGTGCCACCAGTCCGGCCAGCCGAGCACAAACAACCATGTCGTCTGGTCGGTCGTGTTAATCCATATCATCGTTAACATGAGATCCTCAGTCTCTAGACGGCGATGTGCACTGAAGTAATGCAGAGGCAGCCAATCATTTCAAAGAAAACAAATGGACACTGCATAAGCGAGATCCTTCTCGGCCTGGATCTCTGGGTTTCAGCAGCAAGAGTCCCGGACTATACCAGACTACTACCTCAGTTGCCTACCCAGGCATTCACGGTTGCCACGTTCATCATTACACCAGAGACCTCATTACAAAAGGACCATAATGCCTACACGTATGGGCGTGTACCTTGCAGTAGCTGCCGCAGGTACGTAATAAAGCGCACTTGTTCCAAGACCCTGGCTCTTGGACATGCGCGGCTCTTTTGTTCGGGTCATGTTAAACCACCAAACCACCAGCCCGACTGGTGAGTCCCAGCCATCGTCGTCGGCCTCCATGGCAGTGCACACCTACCTATCCACCACGCCCTGAGCGAGATGCATCTCGCGTTTTTGATGACGATGGTAAATAAAAGTACTGCAAAAGGACCCCGCCGGCGCGATATGGAAGTTGGGGAGTGTAGACCGCCTCGCACTCCTCATTCTTCGTTGAATGAGGAAGAGGAAGAGGACGTGGAGGACATGATGATCTCTTGGGCCCGAAGCATTGCTTCCTCGGTGCTCCCAGTTGGCGATTATAAGAATCAAGGACGCTCTCTCGCTTTCTTGCTCCTTCTGCTCATCATCAGCATCAACATCCACGTTCAACGTTCCACTTCTTCAGCTACCTTTGAGGCCCAAGAGCGACAAAAGCGCAACTGTCTTCACCTATTTTACCTCTTGCCACAATGTCCTCAGACCAGAACCACCCCAACTACCAATACATCTCCGTCCCTCGGCCTCGACAGGGTCAGACGCCGCAGACTTCCGCATACCAACAAGCCGACGCGTCCAGCACACTCGATTCCTGGCTGTCGGAAGACCCTTCAAAGGCGCCGTTTCACGCCATCGGCTCGTTCCGACCCGCGGGTGCCACTTCCGGCAGCAGCGCGGGCATGTGGAGTTCTGCGCAGGCCCCGAGCAGCACCGGAGCGACATGGGGCAGCGGACCCGGCCGTCTGAGCTGAGGACCGCCTCAAGCTCCAAAACAGAGAACTAAGGCGGTCGGGCACGAAAAGCAGTGATTTTTCTTCTTTTTTGGAACGGGATATGATTGTCATGGATTACTTGTGACATATGCTTGCGGCGTTGCAATTGGACGATTCCGCATCGCATGGGCTCGGCTGGGAGTGGGCGTGACATTGTGGGCAATTGTAGACTATTGTTGGAGCTGGGTCGCAGAAAGAGGACCACTTGAAGATCTAATTGAACCTCATTCTTCAATTTCCAGCAATTTCTCCATAGCCAGCCGTGCATGAAATTCCTGATGCCTCCGTTTACCTGCGCGGCATTACAGTTGTTAACTCCGTACCATCGGCGTTCCACAAACCCCATCGTGACAAGCCCGGAGTTAACATATGGTGCTAGGCCGGGTGTAAGGCCGGGTGTAACCACCGTGTTAAGCGTGAGAGAATTGAATACCAGGAGGCTTCAAGCAATAAAAGATGCCCATTTTCCTGAGTTATTTTCCCATATCACAGTAGCATCCGTACAAACGCTTCAAGATCTCGAATCAGAACCTAAGTTCAGGCCTGTCATCCCAGTAGCATCCGTACAAACGCTTCAAGATCTCGAATCAGAACCTAAGTTCAGGCCTGTCATCCCAGCCCGCAAACTGGTCTTAAAAGGCATAGCGTCCATCAACCGATCCATCATGGCCCCTCTCATTTACAACCGGGACACCAGGGCCAGCGAACTGGTGCCCCTCTACGCTCCTCATATCACCGGCAAGACCATCCTCGTTACGGGAGTCTCGCCTGGGGGCCTTGGTGACTCTTTTGTCAAGCAGGTCGCAGTCGCCGAACCGGCCATGTTCATCCTCGCCGGCCGCTCACCCGACAAGTTCCGGGAGCTAGTCGCGGACCTTGCCACCGCACACCCCGAGATCAAGGTCAAGTCACTGGCCCTCGACCTCGCGTCCTTTGCCAACGTCCGCGCCGCTGCCGAGACGGTCAAGTCCTGGGCCGATGTGCCGCACATCGACGTCCTCGTTAACAACGCAGGCATCATGGCCGTGCCGTACAAGCTCACCGAGGACGGCTTCGAGAGCCAGTTTCAAACGAACCACCTCGGCCACTTTCTCTTCACGAACCTCATCATGTCCAAGATCCTGGCATCGGCGTCGCCACGCATTGTCAACGTCAGCAGCATGGGCCACAGGCTGCACCACATCCGCTGGACGGACTACAACTTCAACAAGGGGGAGCACTACGACAAGTGGATGGCGTACGGACAGTCGAAGACGGCCAACAGCCTGTTCTCGATCGCGCTCGCCGAGAGGCTGGGCTCTACTGCCAGCGGCCTGACGACCCTTAGCCTGTGCCCGGGATACGTCGGCACGAACCTCGCCGCGCACGAGGCGCACGATTTCCCCGGGTTCCTGGAGGACCTACGCAAGGCAGAAGTTCTGGCGGGGTCGAAGTGGATGTGGGGGATGCAAGGCGTCGAACCCAAGGATTTTGACCAGGGCGTGTCGACGCACGTGTTTGCGGCGTTTGCGCCGGAGCTGAAGGAGAAGAACGGGGAGTTCCTGGCGAATTGCCGAATCGCGGACCCGTGGGAAGAGGAAGTCTTCCCGTGGGCAAAGAGTAAGGTCGATGCGGAAATGCTATGGGCTTTGAGTGAGAAACTCGTCGGGCAGGAGTTCAGATACCGAGATGCTGGAGTCGGACAGGATGGCACACGTGCGAGACGAGTAAGAAGTCAGTGCTGCAGTTGAGGTGCATAATGATAGGATTATGTAGATATGAAGGGAAAAGCATCTGAGCGTTACATGACAACGTTTGAAGTTGAATCAACGTCGCAATGGGCAAAGTCGTTGATGGATCTGAAACTCAAGCTGAGAGGTGAGGTCGAGCCACAGAAGAGAGAAGTATACCGGTATTCCAGGGCTGCGTTGCCACAAACGGCGGACATGTTTAGTGTACCAACCACTTGCACAGCCACACAACAGCGAGGTCTTGATTGCTTATTCATCAAGGTGATGTGGCTGAAGGTGAATTGCACCGCCACTCCTTCCTCGCTTCACCTGCTGTCCCTGGAGGCCGGCTCCCGGTGGCGAACAAACAACCACCACCTCTCTCCCTCCCTGGAACCAACTTGGCGGGCCTCGTCGTACTTGATTGGAAGACAAGCGTCCCTCTCACTACATACGCGTACGCTTCGTCATGCGAGCCAAGCAAACGATTATGTCTCGCTATCCGAATCGACAAGCTTGAAAAAAAGGTGTGCCTCCAAGGAAGAATGAGGCTGTGCTAAGCCGAGCTGTCGACGTCATTCATCGGATCTTCTCCGTCGCAGTGGTTTTTGCGTCCATGCAACTTGGGATCACCTTTCCTTTTCCCTCTGCTTTTCCAAAGTATCTCCGCCCTAGAGACTGGGCCGAGTCGCTCTATTGGTCTCGGCTTTGCTATCCGATGCGAGTCACAGCCGAGAATGCTGTACCTAATCGTAGCTATTCTCGCCGCATCCATGGATGACTGAGAGGGTCCAAACGTGCGGGTGTGTCGTTCACTCTGGGCTGCCTCAAGCCAAGCATCATCCATGAAATGCCAACTCTATGGACAGGCCGGACCAGCGTACTCCCCGGTGGCAACTCGAAGACGCAGGCCAGGCTTTGCGCTTCCCCCACGCCCCTCCAAAGATCGTCACTGGCCCTGTCATATGCGCGCTGACGACGCTTCTTTGCGACGACCCGGAGGCTGGAGCCCAGATCCAGGCACCCGTCCATGGGACACACAGCACACACAGCCCGAAAGGACATGTGATGTCGGGTCTAGATGGACGCCGTACACGGCCTGCAGACTGCCAGCTTGCGCTTGGCTGCAGCTGCGTAATTCCACATAAGCTTAACCCGAGCAGAAAGCAGGCCCCCCTCTTTAAAAGCATGTCTCTCCCCAACTTGACGCCCGCCATTTGCCTTTGAGTCCAAGAACTCACTTCCGCGAAGCAAACCTACCTCGCACTCTTGCCCTACGTGATGGGATCATTGTACGAGGCTCCAGCTACAAGCCGTGATCGCTCAACTAACGCCTTATTCAGACCAGAACGCGACATGGCTCCGAACATCGACTCGGCGCTGGGCACGGCCGACATGGCCAACGAGCAGCGCGGCCTGCTCGAGCTCATTGACAAGCTGCAATTCGCCCAGCTTGACAACGTCAAACTGCCCCAGATTGTCGTCGTCGGCGACCAGTCGGCAGGAAAGAGTTCGGTACTCGAGGCCATCACTGGCACACCATTCCCGCGCGATGCTGGCGCATGCACGCGCTTCGCGACCGAGATTCGCCTGCGTAGGTCGAATGAGGCGAGCCTCAACGTCTCCATCATCCCCGACAAGAACAAGACCTTCAAGGAGCAGGAGCGCCTGAAGCAGTTTGGCGGCGCCGTCGACACCGACATGTCGTTTGAGGCGCTCATGAAATCGGCGGTGGACTTGATTGCGCCAAAGAACATCCCCGGCAGATTCGCTGCCCGCGACATCTTGGTGGTTGAGAAGAGAGGCCCCGACATGCCTCTGCTCACGCTGGTGGATCTGCCCGGACTTGTCAAGAACGCCAATAACGATCAGTCGATGGACGACATCAAGACCATCGAGACGCTTTGTGACCGCTACATGAAGAGCTCGCGCACCATCATCCTCGCCGTCGTCGGCGGCAACACCGATTACGTGCAGGCGCCCATTCTCACAAAGGCACGCCACTTCGACCCCTCTGGAAGCCGCACCATTGGCGTTCTCACAAAACCAGATCTCTGCGAGTCCATCGGTCTCGAAGATAAGTTCATTGAACTCGTTCAGAACAAGGACAAGCAAAACTACTTTAAGCTCGGGTGGTACGTCCTCCTCAACCCTGGTCCCCGCGATCAGGGCCAGCCATGGCCTTCGGCGCGCGAACGCCGCCAGCGCGAGGAAGACTTCTTCGGCCGCGGAAAGTGGCGCGCGCTGCCCAGCTCAATGTGCGGTGCCAACGCCTTGAAGCAAAAGCTCAGCGTCCAGCTGCAGCGTCACATTGGCCGGCACGTCAAGACGCTGCGCAAGCAGATCCAGAAGGCGCTTGACGACTGCGACACGGAGCTCAAGTCCATGGGTACCGGCAAGGACACGGTCGAGGAGATGCGCATCGAGCTCGTCGAGCTCTTCTCGTCCTCCAAGGAACTGGTCATCCCCGCCGTCTACGGTTTCTACAAGAACCCTCCCCGCAAAAACTTCTTCCGTGCCACGGCCGACCCCCGCGGCACGCCCGCTCAGAACCTGCGCGCCCGCGCTATTGAAGAGAACGAGAAGTTCTCGCAGCGCATCCGCCAGAATGGGCGCAAGTTCGGCTTCTCTTCCTCGACGGCACCCGGGACAGCGGACGGCGTCACCATTAGCGAAAGTAGCAAGAGAGAGTTCGTAGGCAGGGAAGTCGAAATGCTCCTTCGCCAGATCCGCGGTTCCGAGTTCCCCATGGACCCGAAGCCCCGCGCCGTCTATATGCTCTTCCAGAGCTACTCGGAGAACTGGCCCAAGCTCGCCCAGGAGCACAAAGACAACCTCGGCGTGGTGTGTAACGAGTTCCTGAGTGAAGTCATTGACTTTGCGTGGCCACAGCGCATGCGCGAGCCGCTGCGCTACCAGTTCTTAGACGTGCAGATGAAGAAGCTTATGGCGGACGCGCAGCAGGAGCTCGAGCACCTGACACAGGACATGAACCTCGAGATTCAACCCTATGACCCCGAGTATGAGGAGCGCCTCCGGAAGTGGCAGATGGAGTCTACCAAGGACGGCGCCACCTACACAGAGGCGCAGGAGGTGTGCGAGAAGATGTTGATCTTCTACGAGCTGGCGGCCAAGACCTTCATCCGCAACACCATCACCCAGGTCGTTGAGAGGCACCTGCTGCAGGGCATGTACGGCATCTTCAACTCGGTGGAGATCTTGAACATGCCGAACGATATCGTCGAAGCGATCGCAGCCGAGAACAAGGAGACGCGCGACCGCAGGATGACACTCAAGACGCAGAAGACAGCGATTGAGGAGGCCCGCGACATCTGCGCCAGCTTGGCCATGCGCAAGGAGCTCCGGATGGTAAGTCCACACCCGTCGTCCCCTTCCACGAAGCCGACGATGCTAACAGACGTCCCGCAGTACGCCGACGAAGACCGCGACCTTGAGGAAAACAGTTCTGACTCGGACGATGATAAACCCCGCCAGCCGTCGGCACGGAAGCCGGTCAACAACAATTCCAGCGCCAGCCCAACCCGGGAAGCGCACCGTTCTACGCGCTCCCGAGACGAGCGTGAAGAACGTCGGGAGCGCCCAGCAGCAGTGAGAATACAGCCCTCCGCCGCCGAGTCCGCGGCGACCAACGGCAACTACTCCTACGCCGGCCACCAGACACCCGCGCAAGCCCCCGCTCCCCCGCAAACACCCGTTCCCCCGCAACCTCAAACCCAGGCTCCCGCCCTTGCCCCCCCGCGGCCCGAGCGGACGGATCTCCCGCGTACGAACACGGGCAACTCCGAATGGGACGACGAGTACTACAGGGCCCCGACGCAGCCGCCGTCCCAGGCGCCTCCCCCGCCTCCGCGCCCGCAGAAGCTGAGAACGGAAGAGACCGCTGCGGACGTGTACAGCCACCGCTCGGCGTCGTCGGTGTCGGAGCAGCAACAGGCCAACGGGTATGGCAGCTACCAGGACCCGAATGAGTATCCGCCTTCGTCCACCAGGCGGGTGACGGCCAAGAAGCTGTTCGGTAGAAGTTAGATGTGACTCGAGACGGGCTTCGTGTTAGACCCCTCCCCCCCCTTTTTTTTTTACCCTCGTCAACGGCTTTGTGTTATTTTGTCTTATTTACCAAGCGATATTGGGGTTCACCACTTTGGGGGGGTTCCGCCGACGATAGAAAGCGATTTCATTTGGACACGGGTCAGGAGACATGCGTTTTGCACATGAACGAGGTGTTAAGATGGATGCTACGATGCCAAATCGATAAATTGCATGGCTGTTCCGGCTTCTTGCGTAAACTTTCCGTGACTTTCTGAGGAAGTGTGATTCAAATAAGTGCCCAACACAAGTTTTGGTCGAGGATGAGTTCTCAAGAAGGCCAACGCCATTTTTCGAAGTTATTAGCAACCGCAGTATTTTCGTGAATGCAATAAACTTGTTCGCTGCAGGTAGGCCCTTCCCCCATACACAGCACTTTGGCCGCAGGTAGCAAATGGATGTAGGTACTTGAACGTCGGTTTGATTGGTCATCAGTTGTCATTATAGTATACAGGTAATTTTTGCTTTTCTCCCCCTCCTCCCATCCCTCTTTCTCGCGCACATCCTTCAACTCTCTTATTCCTGGGCGATCTTGAGGACGGCCTTGCCAAAGTTCTGGCCGGTGAGCATGCCGACGAAGCCCTCGGGGGCCTTGTCGATGCTGTCGGTCAGGTGGATCTTGACCTTGAGGTCGCCCCTGGCGATCATGGGCTGGACCTTCTCCTGGAAGGGCTTGTACTTGGCGGGGGAGAGGTCGACGAGGAAGCCCTGGAAGGTGAGCTTCTTGGCGACGAGGTGGAAGAGGCCGCGGACGCCCTTCTGCTGCTCGCGCGGGGTGTTGTAGTCGGAGATCATGCCGCAGCCGATGATGCGGCCCTGCTGGTTGAAGGACTCGAGAGCGGCCTCTAGGTGGTCGCCGCCGACGTTCTCAAAGTACATGTCGATGCCCTGGGGCGCGAGGCGCTTGAGGGCATCGACGGGCGACTCCTTCTTGTAGTTGAAGCCGGCGTCGAAGCCGAGCTCCTTGGTGATGAAGTCGAGCTTCTCGTCGCTGCCGACGGAGCCGATGACCTTGACGCCCTCGGCCTTGGCCAGCTGGCCGACGATCTGGCTGACGGCTCCGGCGGCCGAAGAGACGAAGATAGTCTCGCCGCGCTTGGGCTTGCCGATGTCGTAGAAGCCCTCATAGGCGGTCATGCCGGGCATGCCGAGGGCACCGACGAAGAGTGGCAGGTCGACGTTGTGGGTGTTGGGCACCTTGAAGAAGCCGGGCAGGAACTTGGCCGGGATGACGGCGTACTCGGCGTTGGGGCCCATGAAGGAGGTGACGAGGTCGCCGGGGGCGAACTGCGCCGTGTCGGAGCGCTCGACGCGGGCGACGATGGACGAGGCGATGACGGCGCCAAGCTCAAAGGGCGGGATGTAAGACTTGCCGGCCTCGGCGGGGCGCATGCGGCCGCGCATGTAGGGGTCGAAGGACGAGTAGAGCACCTTGATGAGGATGCCGCCGTTGAGGTCCTGGTCGAGGTCGATGGGGCGGTCCTCGACGACGAGGTCCTGGCCGGGCACGGGCAGGCCCTTAGGGACCTGCTTGAAGACGAAGGACTTGTTGGGGGTGGGCGCCATTGTGAAATGGGTTTTTGTTATAGAATAAAGGGGGGGGGGGTCGTTATTGGTTGGTCTGGGTATCAAAGGCGAGGAGTTCGGGGTATCGTGAGATGACAGAAATGTAGATATGCTTCTAAATATGGAATCGAGATTGATGGTTCTCCTAAAGCAAAGTGCTGCAGCTAGGGATGGGACGGCCCAGATATATATATATATATATATCATTGCGAGCACTTGCTCCAAATCATGACGAAGTCCAATGGAAGCTCCATCGTACCCGCGCCAGGTCTGACCCTGCGGAGGCACTACCCCCTCCCTTGGTTGTGAGTCTCTTTCTTTTCTCTTTTGGCCGAGGTAGCTTGACGAAGACAGGGGCGGAAGCTGTTGGAAACCAGAACGTCATGGAAGAATAAACGGTAGACTAACCAATCCACTCTGGTCGGCGAGTGGAGTTGCATGGGGAACGCAGGCAATGGGGCGGCTTTGCCATCTGCCCGGCTGAACGATCGTTCCGAGAGGTGTGGTTCCCATAGCATTTCCGGAATTAGGTAGTGTGTGTCGTGTCAGACGGCCCGCTACTTGGCGTGTGGCCATCCATGGTCCCCTACTTTTTCTTTGGTGGGGAAGATCTGTCAGCACCTTGAAATTTTTCTTGGTCGATTTGCCTCTCATAGAAAGGAGTTTGCCTAGTCTGACATCAAGATGCCGCGGCTCATGGCGGGGTTCGTGAACATTGGGTAGGCGGTGTGCTGCATGTTCGATCCTCCGATGACAGACCAGGGTCACCCTCCCCAGCTTTTCTCTTCATTCATCAGGGGGTCGTCCTGGCGCTCGTTATCAGCGTTTAACTCCGCAGGCGACGCCTATTGGGCGCTCGTCGGGGGTGGCCGTTTCTTCAAGCACATATCCCCGAGTCATACTTGTACCGGTTTCCGTACCGTTTCCCATTCTTTCTGACGGATACCTGGCCATGCCCCAAGTACCACAGAAATCTCTGTCCATGAAGCAATGATGACAAAGCAGCCAACTGCTGCATTGAACAACCAAGGCATGACAGAACACCCACCGCCATCCACCCAACGGAGCCGGAGCTGATAGCCCCTTTCGGCGGAGGGCCTCCCGGCGATAAATATAACGATGCAGAAACACTGGTGGACAGGCCCGCGCCCGAGGCTGTAACGATCTAGACCAGTCTTGTCGGTGACAAAGCCGAGGTCCAACCGTGTGAGCTTCTCTTCTGCGAAGGGTCGTCACCCCTTCAACGATGCTGGGGATCCAACAAATTGCTGTCTGAATGGGACGGTCGGTCGAATGGTTGCTCCAGCGTCGACCTCAGTTGCCTACTCTGTAACATTATCCCGTAGCGATCGATCCCGGCACTCTTCCTTGTCTCCCCTCGTAATGGCATTCTTGATTTCAAAGCCAAATTTCCGCTTCCCCACGTCGCTCAATCCCGCTGCTGAGAGAACGGGCTTTTGCCTCCCCCCTCCCCTCTCACCTTTTCCGCAGTTGTCGATCATCCCCTGTTTCTTCTAGAAATCTCCAAGATCTCCGACCGCCCTGGCTGAACCGGCTTGCGGACCTCAAGGGTCTTGGTAGTGTACACTAGGGTAGACAGTCCATCAAAATCGTCATGCGCCGTGTGCCGGCGGCAGGTATCTCGCGACCATCCTCGCGTGTCCTCGGACGGCCGCTGCATCGGGTGCCGTCCGCTGTTCGCGTGCCATATCGGCAGACACGGCCACCAGCTCGACCCCTCCGCGGCCGTCCGTCATCCATAACTCTTCGTAGCCCGTAGGCTCGAAACCCATCCGTTCGAAGCACCGCCTCCCTTCTGGCGTCGCCGTGAGCGCTATCGAGCACTGTCAGATAATCATCATCATCGCCACCTCTTACGCCGAGGGTAGGGCAGAAACACGCACAAGCACACAGATACACGTGACCCATACACTACACGAATCACTTACCCGAATGGCCAATGATCTTCCATCCTTTGCCCTCTGCCACGGCGCCGACAGCCCGAATCGAGAGGTTCGCGAACCCGCGCACCCTTGCATGTGTCGCAGGGATGTCGAACCGTTCGACGTGGAAGACGTGCAGTCCGACCTCCGGATGCGGGCCTCCGTCGTCCTCGTCGCCGTCGACGCCTTCGCAGGCGAACATGGACTCGGCGTCGACATCGGTCTCCTTGACGTGTCCTGCCAGTAAGTCCCGCCACGCGCGCGCCAGGAGGGGAAGCACAATGACGGCGCCCACGAGCGACCGCCTGTCGGCCCGACCTTCGTCGCCCTCGGCGGCCGGCAGGTAGAAGCACGTCGCCATGTCGGGCGCCGCCGTCGTCCAGCTCCGGAGGCGTTCCCAGGTCAGCGGCGCAGGGTACATGTCCTGGTCCGAGGCGAAGATGCCCCTCAGGACCTCGTCGGTCATAGGACCCGTCTCCAAAGGCGGCGTCTGCATGTTGGTGAAAGCCTCCGGCTCCGTTGCATCAAGGTGGGAACCCGGAGTGAAGCGTCGTTTGGTGCTTCCGGTTTGTGGAACGATCAAGGGAGTTGGCTGGCTGGCTCTATTGAGGTGATGCAGTGACTTACTTTGGCCTGGACACTTGATTGTGCGTCGGCCGCCCTGCTGGCTTACACGTACCTATTTGTCCGAGTGTACGATCCCTATCGCTAGCCAGCTTTGGCTGTCATGGCCCCCCGAAGAAGCCGTGCTGCGGGGATTTCCCCACTGGCCTCTTCGCCTGTGCATTCACTCTGACGGTGAAGAGCCGTGCTGCCGGGACACTCGGGCGCGCAGGCTCATGCATGGAAGCTCGGAAGGGTGGGATTGGCAGCCGAAACTGATGATATCCTAGAGTTCGTAGATACAGCTCGGCTAGCAATCCTTCGGAAATCGAAGGATCACAGGCCTTGCACCTGAGAGCTCCTTTGGACGCTTCCCATCACGGCTCCCAGCAGCAAGGATTGGAGCCGGGCAAAGCTACCATGACCGAGATGGAATCTCAGTGGCCATACATGATTATCAGTGACCGAAACCGCCAACGTAACTCAATCATTCCGTCGTGATTATTCGTTGTTTACTGCCATTATACGCATTAGTGGGTATTTCTTGGTTATCGTCTGTCATTGAAGTCATCGAGTCGTTGGTTCGCCCCAACGCCGCCTCCCTCCATTCATCAGCCATCGTTCAATTCCGACCACGAGCTATCCAACGGATGGTGCCAGCCGCCGGGTCCATGATGCAGACAAAGTGCGTACACTCGTTGGTTGTCGGATACGTATTAATCCATTGCTGAAGCATGGCTTCGTCCACGCCACGAACCTCGATGTCTCTACCAAGGTCTGCTCGAGTGTCCGCATCAAGACAGCGGCTATTGCGCCGAGGTTGTAGTTCTTCCCCAGCTTCTTTGGCGACTGCTGCCACATACTGAAGCCACTTCTCCTCGAGCACTCGTTGATGATCCTCGGACTCACCCAGCCAGACGTCCTCACCAATCATCATGGCTTGAGTAGCTTCGGAGGGGCTGTTGTTTGCCTTGTGACCACAGCAGGTCCCGTGGTCCGGGTCGTGGTTACACTGAACCTGAAAGAGGCTGCTCGTTTTAGCCTTTCCTATGTAAAGGTCTTTAAGGACACTGACGACCTTGAATCCGTCGCATAGTGTGATATAGCAGGGGGATGTCGGCATCGAAATGAACTTCTTTGCTACGCCTGTGATGGAAAGCGGACATTGTTCAGACTTGTTGATAGGAGGACCAATGTCGACGGGAACCTCGAGGCTGTTGCTAGGGATGTCGTGGTTCAGCAGTATGCGTCGGAGAAGAGATGGGACTGCCTCGCGGCGGCCAAGAAGGACCGACAATTGATGCTTTCTCAACGATGTGGTAGTGCAATCATGAGTTGGTCGGAAATTGAGAGATACCGACAATTCCTCGCTAAAGATAGAATTAGTCGCCAAGTAGTAACTGTATCGAAGGGTAACACTGCTGCATACCGGACACCCGTGAGGCAGCCAACAAAGCCGGCGTACGAAACTGGTCTTGCAACCACCTCGTCAGTGTCTCCTTTGCTGCTGTCGACAAACTCCACAATGACAAGAAGCTCTCTCTCAAAGCGTCCACACCCCACTCCAGGATACGGAAATACACCAGGCGGTCCTTGGTATCTTGGCCGTCCCGGTCGCCGGGCTCGGGTCGCACCAGGGCTGCTCCCGAAGTGCAACCCAGCATCAGGTCCAAGAAGTGATTAAGGGATATGAGCAAGTAAGTTCTGATCTTGGCGACGCTGGCGATGGACTTGATTTCCTTGGTCTGCTCCTTGTCAAACACTCTGCGCAGGGCGTGGCGGGACGCGAACTTGATGACACCAGCAAGCTTTCTTCCGACTAGCCACTCGATCACCTCGTAAAAGAGAGGGCTGACGCTTCTCATCTGGGGAGCAAATTCCTTGGCGAGTTGGATCTAGCGCTCCTCCGCAGGCTTACCCATGTCGATCCGGTAGATCGAGATGTCCGCGAGAGCAGGCATAAATATGGTAGGAAACGCCGACGCCTGCTTCCCCTCCTTCCGGGGCTCGCTAGGGAGAACTGACGACATTCTGAACGTATTCGAGTTGTTGAAACTAGTTTTGATGTCGTACTCGTTGCGTTGCTGGGGTTGGCGTCGGAGTGGTAAGAAGATGTCGGCAAACGAGGCGTTTTGGTGCATGGAGAGTGAGGAAGAGGGAGCGAGAGGATTGGGGCGAGGGGGCGAGGTTGGCTTTGAGGTGGGTAACGTACGCCCAAGGGAATGGCGTTTTGGACGGGAAGGCTAGACTTGGACCGGATTAGGTGGAGGAAGGAAGCCCTCGAGTAGATTCCGTGCAGAAAAAAAGAAAGCGTATAAACGCCGTCTGGTGAAAATCTTGATGGAGAAAAAGCATTCATCTCAAGACCGCGATGGGATATTCCTTGAGAATTGACAAAACGATCAGGTACTGTTTCTCAATAGGACAACTGAATGATTAAGAAGCCCATCCACGGTAACTAGTAGACGTTGACTGACGCTCATTATCATTAGGCGTGTATGTACTGGCTAGGCATACATACATACGTACATACATACATGATACAACTGCAATCTAGGCGCTGTCCGCCCAATATCCAACAAAGCGAACGTCTATTACCCTCCGGTCCCTTCCATGCCTGGCGCCACAGTATCAAGTCTATCCCATATTTGCGCCGGACTCGTCCGCGGAGACTTGGCCCGCCGACTTATCTGACCTCCCTCTCCACCGTGACGCGCAGAGTCTCCTTGGGCCGCAGGGTGAAGTTTGGGTTCGCGAGCTCCAGCACCCCGTCCCAGCCCGGCCGCGGCGAAAACTTGAAATCGCGCACGAGGGCAAAGATGACGCTCTTGACGTTGAGGAGCGCCATGTTTTTGGCGATGCAGCCTGCGGGGCCCTGCAGGAACGCTTCCATCGCGTACGAGTCCTTGGGCGCGCGGCCGTCGGCCCACCGGTCCGGGTCGAAGACGTCGGCCGTCTCGCCCCAGACCAGGCGGTTGAAGTGCGCGACGGCGGGGCAGAGGGTGACCTGGGTGCCCTTGGGCACGAAGACGCCGCAGACGGTGACATCCTCGGCCGCCTCGCGGGGGAGAAAGATGGCTGTGTGAAAAGTCGTTCAGTTGGGAGGGTCGAGGGGTGAGAGCGAAACCTCAGGGGGAACATACCCGGGGAGTAGAAGCGCAAGATCTCCTTGAGGAAGTTGTTGACATAGACCAGATGCTCGAGTTCCTCGTAGGGAGGATCCCAGTCTCGCGGCTTGCCGGCGCAAAGGCCAAGTACCTCCTGCTTGAGACGCTCCTGAACCTCGGGCTTCGTGGCGAGAACGTGCGTGATCCACATAGCGGTCGATCCAGTCGTCTCGTGACCTATCACTCAACGTCAGTATCTCGGTCTCGTGGCTACTTTTATGTGTCTTCGTTACCTCCGGCAATGAAGTTTAGCATCTGTTTTGGAAAGTGTCAGCACATAACAACTAGTCATGAGACGGGTGTGGCTCACGTATTCCAGAAGCTCCAAGTCCTTCCAGCTCGTCTGGTTTGCATCGAACTGGCAGTCCTCCAGGATGAAGGTCAGGATATCGCGACGATCAGTCTGGCTCTCGTTGAGCCCCAACTTCTTCTCTGTCATCATCTCGTGTCGTCGGTTCTCCACGCAAGTGAGTAGCATCGTCCTGATAAGATCAATGTCCCTCAACCATCTCTTGTTGCTCGGCAGAGGCAGCCAGGAACGGAGAGGAATGTGGCCGTCAATGAAGGTAACGATGTGACCCGAAGGCGGCTGGCGGATGATGCGCTCGTACACGTCGAAGAAGTGGGCTTCCGGGATGGAAATGCTCTCGAGGTCGCAGCCGATGGATCCTATAACGAAGACGTCGAGGCTAGCCTTCTTCAGGAAGCCCTCGACTTGGGCCGCTGTCAGCTTGACGTCGGGCAAAGAGGCTCAAAGGAGAAACGAACTGTCGACGGTCTTGATCTCATCTCCTCCAAGTTCTTGGCTGATGGCTTCGCACAGCTGTTTTGCTTTGAGCTGGAAGACCGGCAGCATCTTGCGAGTGTTCTGGTTTGAGAAAGCACCTATTACTTGTCATTAGTTGCTGTGAACCTATTTAGTTTCTTTTTACTGGTCTTGATTGACAACTCACGTGCGAGCTGGTTACGCTGCTTCTTTCGTTCCTCCCCTTCGGAAAACATAAGTCCGTGACCTGTTATGGGAGAGAACATGCGGGCTGCGAAGTGCGACTTGCGGAAGGCATAGGCCTTGGCTTGCTGGACCTCTTTGAACGCAGCCATATTATTCACCATGAGCGTCTCGGAGTTGCCCATGGACAGGTATCGCACAAAGGGCGCTTCAGGCCATTGCCTCATCCATGAGATGAATATGTCTGCTGGGCCGGGAGTTCTGATCTGGTTGAGCATCTGGCCAATGAGAAAGTGACCTCCCTATGAGATTTGCGAGAAGTTTCAGTCATGTTTCTCAAAATTGTTTGCCCGATCTGCTGCTGCTCACGGGTCTGGAGTAAGAGAATACAGGGGCGGGGGCGGTCAGTACCTTTGGGCCTGGGAGGTGCCGCAATGGGGAGAGAAAGAATGGATGGATGAAGGCATGAAATACCAAGAGAGACCCGCAATGTAAAGACAAAGAGACAAGAAAGATTTGGATTGCTGTAGCCCAGTCTATGTGCAAAAGCCTGACGCTGAGAGTCGCAAGAAGGAAGGATACCACCGCGGAAGCCGCTATAGCCATATTCCAAGAATGAGGCAATGTACTGCAATGAAAAGCAAGACTACGGGTCAAAGATAGTAACTGAGGGCGCTCAAAAAGCAAATGGTAAGAATGAGGCGGGAAGAGAGGTGGAAGAGAAAAGAATAGGGACCTAGAATCGAGGTAACGCGGGTGATGCTCTGGGTGTTGAGCGCAAAAGAGGCAAGAAGGACCACGTAAAGGTTCAGATGAAATTTCAAAAAAGCCCCACGCTCTTGTAGGGACAAAAACTTGGCTGTCATCCGATGGAAGAAACGTGAGATTGAAAGGAGCGTCTGAATGTCCAAAGACAACGATCAAGCTTAGGAGGTGAGCGTTGCAAACGTGAAGCCAGTCAAACTTTTCAAAGACCCATAAACAATTACCCTCTTCAAGATCGGAGATTTCAAAGACGCAGACTCGGTCTTTAAAGGAACAACAAAGACTCAAAGCACACACTGTTCGTACTGTCCCCCACCCGCTATTATCGCCCGTCCCCCAATATGCCCTCCCTTTTCTTTCATGCCAAGCATCCCATATGAAGGTGAACATGTATTGCCCAGACCGGAAAGACGGAGTAGGTGCTGGCCGCTCGAGTCATCGAAGTCTTCTTGGGTGGGTGTCCCAAGCCGTGTCTGAACCAGCAGAAGCAAGATAGACAAGCAATCATTCTCAACCCCCTGCCCAGAACGCCACCAACAGGTATGCCAAGTTCCACCGGCGCAAAAAGGAAAAAGGAAAGAAAAAACCACGCCAAACTGTTTTCCTCGCATTGCCTAATCGTGGAGATGACAGGCGGCAATCTATTTGCATCGTAACACAGGGCAGCCACCGAATCTTGATTTCATGAGGGGGGAAGGGGGGCTCAACCATTCCCCTTTCTTTTTGAACCCTTGTCCAGGTACCAATGGCCACGAGGACGCATCACCGCGAGGAAAAGGGGTTTGGGGGCAAACTGGTCCCTGTTTTCGTGCTCGGTACACTCCGCACTAACCCGAGCCGTGCCGCGGGAAATACTAGCTAGCTGGAGGAAACGCTGGCTGGAGGCGCTAGCGTTAGCCTACGAGAAGCCAACGTTGACATAGGTCAAGAAGTAGGCGGGCTTTATACTGACTTCCTGCAAGGGACATAGACTGTGGCTACGCTTGGCCCTGCCAAGGGGAGCCTGTCAGAGGATATGCGCGTAACTGTCTGGGGGAGAGAAGAAGCATCATGGGAGAAAACGAGAGAACAAAGCTTTGCTCAGGACAACAAAGGGGCAGACACCGCCGCATGGTTACACAAGTTCCGAGTCACCGGCACAGTGCCCACGCAATTCTGCCGCTATGCCATGCCTCCATTGCTGCCTGGTACTCGATATATTGTATGCGTCTCTTACACCATTGCGCCTCAATTCAAGTTTGTCCACTGACAGACCAATCCTTGAGGACTTTCGAGACATGGAGAGGGACCATTGGCATGGGGCGTCATGAAACGGGAAAAACTTGCGAGGAGACGCGACAGCCAAGCACAGACGGCGTTGAGGGAAGGAGATGGACTCGTGCCGCCGACAACCTTGTTCGGGGGGGGGAGGGGAGACGGGTGCTTGCCGCATCGTTGCTTTCCATGCACGCGCAGACCAGGCCTCTCTGACTAAACACGGCCCCATCATACCTCCGGACCCCCGGGCCGCTGTGTCGGCGAGGACCTCATTGGTGGAACGTGCTGGACTTATCCCCTTCCTCCTCGCTGTGTACAACACCGACGTCTCGATCATGCAGGACCGCGCACAATATCGGGTCACTTGCGAGATCGGGCAGGGGGGGGGATGGAAGCCGGCATTCTGCGGTCATGGGCCTTGGGTGTTTCTGATCCGGCGGAGCATCTGCGATCGATCGTACAGAAGGCATCCCGACATCATCTCATGATCAGTCGTCGATTTCCGAGTGTCGCCTATGCAGATTGAGTGGCTGAAACTGGGCCAATGATTTCGTGGCGGCAGGCAATATTTGACGCCGGGGGAGGGGAGCACAGCGAAAAAGAAGCTTACATGCGTCAGATAGGGTGACGACATGGTTGGTTCACATCACCCCTTCTGCATTGGAGTTGACTGACGAGACGGAACCCAGCGATGGACTACTTGATGGAGTGTTGCGGCCGACGTCCAGCTGACGGCACAGTGTGTTCCAAGATCTATAGCAGCAGATATCGCAGTGCAAAATCCCGACGTCGAGGAGCAAGGGGAAGGGTCAAAGTTGTAGACTGTTGAAACGGAAACTCTTGGCTGCCATTCCGGAACTGTTCTCAATGGTCTCACGACCTTTTTTTTTTCTTTTTTCTTTTTTTAGGCGCCCTGGGTAGTTAATAAAAAAAAAAGGCCCTGGGGAGCTGCAGATTGCCCAGGATGACTGAAGTCTCAGGAGGTCGACTGACACAAGACACCTCCGGCGCGATCCGAGGCTATCCAGATGTCTGGCTGCGAGATCTCGTGCCTCCAAAGAAAGACGCAGACAACCAGAGGTAGGCAGTGTGAGTGGGGAGGAGGGAGTTGCAAGGGCCGGTAAATGGACCCAATCGGTTAACTAGAGTATTTGCAGACTAAGCTTGTTGAACCTGGGGATAGACTATCGCTTTGATGCCTGATGGTTGTCAAGCACTAGTTTCATCGACTTAGGCGAAGCTACACACAAGGTTCGCCCTAGAAATTATTGCGCAATTTAGGGAGGGAGAGGGAGTCTAGATAAACAGTGAAACAAAAGGGCTGAACAAACAACAATGTACCAATAAAGCCTTACCTAATGTACAGTAAAAGGTGTAACAGGTGTCACTAAATGTTTTAGTTAACATCTTTAGTAGTAGTAGTGTAGAGCTATAGCTTGCTTGTCTTAGCAGATTACGCTTGTAGTAAGCAGGTACTCAGGAAGCAGTCACTAACAGAGCCAAAATTGAATAGAGCCAGAATGGGACAGGACCAAAGCAAACAGAGCCAGAATTGGATGCAGTTTGAAATGGATGACTGGTAAGCTGCCTGGGACCTAGCTTGATCAAGAAGACTGTTAGGCGCTATTAGATCCGCAGCTGCCTTTAGATGCTTCAGGAAAGAGTTCAGTTCAAGAAACTGATCTATTGCGAACTAATTTACTACCTATAAAGCCTCTCTCCACTTATTGTTCTTAACTTGTTGCAGGAACCAGTTACAGTACTGCTTAAGTCTATCTATCTTGTTACCCTTAACCTCCCTAGTGTCTTTAATAACGATTATCTCGCCTATATCACAAAGCCTACCGTGAGACAAAGCATAAGCTTTACAGCCACAACAATCCACTAAGTCATCTGCCTTCCGCTTTCAGCTATTGTTTAGTATGTCGCCGAGGATTTTAGATAAGATCTCAATGTTAACGTCAACCTCCTCCTTATTCTCTCCTTCCTTCATATTCCCTTTGACATAGTTAAAATCTCTCTTCCAAGTGCCTCGACAGTAGTCTATGGTGGTTTCCTTGTTCGTTAACCCAGCAGTGCGGCCCTTGCTTGCATTGTTTGCCTCTGCAGCGATGATGCTTGTACACTCGGGTCCAAAGACCGGCATCGTTGAGCGCACTCGAAGTGACACAAACCTCCAGACTCGTTTTACTAGTCTTCTGTCGTGAAGCTGGGACAGCTTCGTGTGGCTGATTCCAGTTAGAGACGCCACGAAGTGGAGCCTCCAACCGATAAGACCCATATTAGGAAGAGTATTTCTAGGCGATATTTATCTCGAACTTAGAGTTAGAAAGATCAACTACTTCTCGTCATCAATGTAAAGACGCTGCGGTTCATCACATCTTACTTATTGAGTTGAAGCCGAAGCAGACCCTGAAGCAATTTGTCGTTTTCCCACTTGAGCAGGGCTTTGCCTTTCCACTTCTCCCACCCTTCCCAAGGTTCTCCTTCGAAGCCGAAGGCCATTTTGAGTCCCACGAAGAGATCTAAAAAGGTTTGTCGGTCTGAAGAACTTTCAGGACCTAGAGCGAAAAAGAATCTCTGAACCTTTCTCCCAAGAAGGACATAGTTGGACAGATCTTCACGACCCCTCTCCTGGAAGATTTCCGCTAGCCTCATTTCCTCTGGGGCCAACTCATTGGAGCCTTCATAGAACTTCCCCAACGGCCACATCATACAAGGCGAGCTGAAAGCCTCCACCTTGGTAGCAGTCCGGGTCCACTCCCAGTCTATAATTCCAACGATATCGTAAGATTCATTGACGAGAATGTGGTCGCCCTTGTCATCCGGATGCTTAAGAAAAAATTGCTCCTCTGCTGGCTCGTCACCCCAAAGAGTTTTGGCAATATCCAGACGGAAACGATGCGCGAGGTAAGTGTCTACCGAATAGTGGGCACCAATCTCGCCGCTGGCTATCATCGCGAGATATGACTTGACTATGTGAACTGACCCTTCTAGCGAAGAAGTGAAAGGACCAAGCGGCCCTTTAGCCCCCATCCTGTATGTTGCGTGCTGTGCGAGGCCTTGCACCACAAACTTGGCGGGGCCTGAAACAGTGAGTGACCCCAAAGTTTCAAAAGGATGTTTTTCAATTTCCAGAAACACATCCACTAGCTGTTGCATGACTTTCTCTCTCTGTGTTGGATTTGCCGCTTGCCAGTCTAAGGGCATTCCGTCAAGCTTCTCCATTAGAATATAGCTTACTCCAATTCGGTTTCCCGGATCGGACCCGCAGGCCCAGTCGAAGATTTTGGGGACAGGGATGCTGGTGCGGTCACGCAGATAGGTAAGAGTGCCCGCTTCGGATCGGAGAATGAAATCACGGACTTCTTCCGGTGGTGAGGTGGTCCTGGTGAGACGAAGACGTGCCAGCCATATAATTCCATCTTCAAAAATAACTTCGGCGTGACAATTTTGGTGTCCCATCATGGAAGACAGGTGTTTGCGTGACAGGTTAACGGTACATTGGATGCCGTCCCTTAGTTCTGATGCCCTCGAACATAACTTAGAGCTGTCTATTCGATGACATAGCTCGTCTATGTGACGGGCTTCAGTGGTCGCGTATTGGGCAGAGAAAGATGACCAGTTTTTCTAAATGTGACAGGCATAAGCTGTATGTCAGGACATACTCTAGAATGGGATTACAGGCCTCTGGATTTGGGCATTTATGGAACGGTTCTGAAAGATGTTTGCTGCAAAGGTGTTTGTCGCAACACAAACAGTCTCCTTCTCTTTGCACAGCCGGATTTGAACACTTTTCAAAGTCGCACAACCACAGAGGCATCGCAAGAGTCATGCGTCGAGGAAAGCTTGGTCGGTGGAGAATGTTGAGGGAATCGGGAAAAAGAATGATCAAGGGAAGAAATAATGGGTAGCACCGAGCTCAAACCCTCCCAAAGCTTAGTCACCGGCCTTCTGCACCAGCCGCTCGTCAGCCTCACGTGTTGAGACTTGCATCTGCCCTGCTCGAACGAGATCCATCTAGCCAACAACAACTCCATTATAAGCGCCCAAAATCCTTTCGGCTGCTCGATTATTTCTCATTACTGTGCCTGTGCTAGCGAGGCCATTTAGAAGCTTATAGCTGGCGACCTGCAGCAGCTCACTTTGCACAAAGCAAAGTTTCAACAAGGCAATAATTTACACAATTCAGTTATGGCGTCATAAGCGTATCTATAGCAGAAGGGAGAACAACAGGACCAGGGTCAGGCAAGCAAAGACAGGCGCACAACAGTCCTTTATTTTTATTTTTACACAGGCTGGGTTCTTGACAGCTTACTAGTAAGCCAATTTTAGCTGCACCTAATTCAAGTTCTGTTAGTGACTGCTTCCAGAGTACCTGCTTACTACAAGCGTAATGTGCTAAGCTAAGTAAGCTATAGCTCCACACTACTACTACTAAAGATGTTAACTAAAACATTTAGTGACACCTGCTATGCCTCTTACTGTAATATTAAGAAATTGATAAGACAGAGACACTGAAAAGGGGAGCAACAAAGCACACAAAGTGTAACAGAGAGGGGGAAAGTAGCTTATAGCAAAATCCTAAACCATTAGAATCCTGACAAACTCTATAAAGACCTCACAGGGAGGGGATTAGTGTGTATATTAGGAGTTAGTCAAAGAGACACAGCGTTTGGCTGTGGACAACTAATAACTGGCCTAGATAAACATTATACTTCGGGCAGGGGGTTGAACACACACCCACGCCAGATGCACATCATTAACGTGCCAAATTCGGTCGGTCACCCTGCTCTATTTCAACGGGACGACAACCAAGTTCGGCTCCCAGACCATCTGGCCCCAGCAAGGTTTATGCCGTCTAGGGCGTTGCAAGTTGACTGACGGGGCGATCAACGACTGATGATTAGTGCATGCATGCAAGTACCATGACGGCGCGCCCTTCAGACAATCTTCGTCATGACGGCATAAACAGTGAGATAGTCGGGGGTCAATTCTCAGACAGACTCCCTCCAACACAACCCAACCAACACACAACTCCAGATGTGTCTCTAGAAAAAGGGGCGTTCGGCCTACCGTACTTTCTTCACTCTTCTTCAGCGCAATCCATTCCTCTCGCCTAACCTCGGCAAGTCCGAGACCCAGCCCAAATGGCCGAGACATCCCTTCGGCGGCCGAGCAGCCCGCTCGGAATGCCGATGTTATCCGAGCAAAGTCGCGCAACCCGCGTCCCTCCCCTTTCCGAGCCGAAAGGCCGCGCTCGTAGTTCCGTTGGCGGGGGAGGGGGGTCGATGAGGGAATACCACGACCCCAACACCAAGTTGGGCAGCCAGCTAACTGCGCGTGCGAGGCTGAAGGGAACAATTGCGGCGCTGGGGCGTTTCATTGCGCAAGGCTGGCGTCGCCGGGGATGCGTCTAGACATGCGAAGCGGACGGGAGAGAGAGAAAGATAGGATTCGTCAATCATTTGTCTTTTACATTCAAATGCAACTAGAACACTCGTAGGTGGGTCTCGAACGAAAGAAGACGCCACCGGCGATCAAGTGCATGTAGAAAAAATTAAGAAAAAAAAAGTAGGAAAAAAAAAGGCAACGGCCAATCAATGTCAAAAGACGAAAAAAAGGGACTCATATGCTTTGCGTGACTCCTATGCTACGTACAACTGGTACAACTACAATCTCCCAGCAAGAACGTGCCTCCTCCCAGTGTCCAAAAACAGAAGTCTAGTCCTCCACTAGTTATGCAATTCGACCGACGTCGGGTGGTATCTATCTCCGTTTCCCCCATTCTTTCGCTCCATTCGGGAAAAACGCCGACTCTAATCGCGGGCGTGGGCAAAAGTGAGAGAAGAGGGAAGGGGGGGGTTGTTGGTGGAGGTTCTCGTGAGGAAAGAAGGCGGGGGGCGCCGAAGTAGGTGTTTCTTTAATAGCTACAGAGGTTTGGGGGGCGGGTGGGTGTTTATGTAGCTGGGGACATTTACAAGGTGTCCATCTTGTCGAGAATGGCCTTGGTGAACTGGTGGGTGGTGGCGTCACCGCCCATGTCACGGGTGCGAACCTTGCTGTGCGGTTGTTAGCGGTTTACTTGTTACGTGTACAATACAAGACGGTGGTCGAGGCCCCGACTTACCCGTCGGCAATGACGCTGTAGATGGCCTGGGAGATGCGGTTGGCGTGGTCGTCGAGGCCGAGGTGGCGAAGGAGCATGGAGCCGGACAGGATCAGGGCGGTGGGGTTGGCCTGGTCCTTGCCCTTGATGTCGAGACCGACGTGACGGCAACCGGGCTCGAAGACGGCGACGTCGCGGCCCATGTTGCAGCCGGGAACGATGCCGGCACCACCGACGAGGGCGGCGCCAATGTTGGACAGGATGCCGCCGTACAGGTTAGGCATGACCATGACGTCGAACTGCTGGGGCTTGCTGACGGCCTGCATGGAGGCGTTGTCGACAATCATGTCGTTGACCTCGAGGGTGGGGTAGTCGTTGGCGACGCGGTGGAAGGTGGAGCGGAAGAGACCGTCGGCCAGCTTCATGATGTTGGCCTTGTGGATGCAGGTGACCTTCTTGCGGTTGTTGGCGAGAGCGAAGTTGAAGGCGAACTTTGCGATGCGCTCAGACTTGGCGCGGGTGATGATCTTGAGGGACTCGACGACGCCCGGGACGGACTGGTGCTCGAGGCCAGAGTACTCGCCCTCGGTGTTCTCACGGATGATGGCGAGGTCGACGCCCTCGTGACGGGTCTGGTAGCCGGGGATGTTCTTGATGAGGGAGATGGAGGCGTAGATGTCGAGCTCCTGGCGCATGGCGACGTTGAAGGACTGGTGGCCGGAGCGCTCGATGGGGGTGTGCAGGATACCCTTGAGGCCGAGCTTGTTGCGGCGGAGGGAGGCGACGGACTCGCGGAACAGCTCCTCGGTCTTCTGGGGGGTGTTGGTGCTGAGACCCGAGACCTCGACCTGCTCCCACTCAATGGGGACGTTGTCGGCCTTGAAGATGGTCTTGACGCTCTCGGCGACCTCGGCGCCGATACCGTCACCGGGGATCAGGGTGACCGTGTACTTGCCGCCGAACTTGGTGGGCTTGAAGATGTCGGAGCCAACCGTGGCGTAGGCGCGCGCGGGCTGCGCGGTGCGCAGAATCTATCGAGGGGTGGGGTCACCGTTAGCTGCCAGTCTGTGTGTTTTGGTTTATCTGTCTTGTCTGTATGGATGTGGGGGGTTGCAAAGTTGGGTGCATCGTGTGTTTTCCCACGTCCATCTTTCCTGTTGAATTTGTGTGTCGCCCGATTCTCGCTCTCAGATGCCGCTTAGTGCAGTTGTTTGTCGCAGGTGCCATTGTTCTGCTCCTCTTCTTCCACTCGATATCCTCCTCTTCAGACACAAGGCACACACACACACACACACACACACACCACACACACCAAAGCCAGCTCATATCCGAGGCAATGGGGCACCCAATTGGGCGCGGGGCTGACAGATACATACCTGCGCAGTGCGGGCGGATCCTCGGGAAAGCATCGTGGCGGTCGTGGGTGCCTCGTGAGGGTATTCGCGGAGCAAGATATGTGTTCGGGGAATCGGAGGAGTTGAAGAGTGGAAGAATCGAAAAAGAGTGGGATTTCGAGGAGGTGGTTCTTTGCAGTGGTTTGGACGGGTCAAATGCCGCAAAAACCAAGGCAACACGGGCGAGTTGGGTCGGAAACGGGTTACGGCACAGGCCGGTAACAGCGCAAAGCCTTTTTTTTTTTTTTTTTTTTTTTTTTTTTTCTGTAGCTGCTCCTACGTCTTCTGCCACGGATTTCGTATGTGGCTTGACTCCAGTCTTTCTCTGGTTGCAGACCTTTGACTGGCTGGAATGCGGATACGGTGCCCCACCACGTTCTTCCGGACCATCGGAAGAGTGGAGGACGACAACAGCATCCGCGGGAAGGAGACAGACAGATTGCGAGCTTCCACAGTTCCTTCCCGCCACTGTCACTTTGGACTCGCTCTCCTCTCCCTCCCTCCTTCCTCCGTCGCATGGCTGGGCTCGGAAAGGGAAGGAACCAAACGTGGGGCACCATGCTTTTTTGGGCACTAGCGCCTCTTGTCCTCTCGGTTGACGGTTGAGCCTCGGGCCTGGATTCAAGCTTGAACTGGAACCCACGTCACGTGGTGTACAGGAACAAGAACAAGAACAGGAACAGGAACAGGAACATCAATGGCTGTCTCTCTCAATCTTCTCATCTTGTTCGCATCTTCGTGTTCGAACATGCCTGCAACGACTTTGCTGAATGCAGTGTTTCTAGACCCAACGTCTTCGGCCAACGTCGGCTACAAGGTAGGTATTCTTCAGTGAACATGGACTGTACCTAGCCGCCCTCTCGCCTTTTCCGGAGAATTCTCCACTTTCTTCTGAGACCGCCAAGTCGGTCTTACACAGCGCCCTGGGCCGTATTTGCGATGCGAGCGACCTTCACTTCGGCCGAGCACAACCTTGGCCCCTGTCCATCGACAACCTGTTCTACTACCACCGTGCATCCAGCGACCTGAATATCAGAACCCCACCTGGATGGCTGTTCAATTTGGGTTCTCCATTACCTCTAGAAGAGTATCCTCCACGCGACACTTCACATGCTGGCCAGACAAGCTTTCTTCTTTGCTTATCTCAGCTTCCCGATTGTCTCGACGTCCACCACGCCTCATAGCGACAACCCCCCCCCCTCCCGCAGTGGTCGCAGCAGAATCCGGCGGCTTCCAACCCGCTGGTTCGCTCCGACAGACCAGTGCCTCAACCGGACATCTTCCTGGCATTGTATCCGCTCGCCTCGATCCCCCACTCGAAGCAATCAGCCCAGTACCGCCCGCCCTGGCTCGTCCCCATAGGCTGTGCACCTGTGAGGTACAAAAAAAAGCCGTGGTCAGCAATGATGTCGCCCCACGGAGCCCGTGCGAGGAATAACTTACAGTCCATGTTCTGGAGCGTAGTGAGGTGCTTCACGCACAGCTCTTCGGTGAGCCCGTTCTCCTCGTCCTCGATCATGTCGTCGCCGTACCTGCCCTTGGTCGGGCAGGGGATGACGTTCTGCGGCGCCTTGATCCAGATGTGGACCATGCCGACGTCGTAGTACCTAGACGCGTTGGACGGGTACGCGACCCGCCGGTTGTAGTCCGTCCAGTAGTACCCGATCCGCTGGGTGGCGTCCATGAACCGCATGCTTCCCTTTGTCCTGATGTCGTAGAGCGCCTCGTAGCAGAACCGTTCAAAGACGCCGTCCTTCGGCTCAAACGTCTTGACCTCGTCCTTCTCCAGCCAGCAGAGCCCCGAGTCGTGCTTCAGTGGCACCACGTCTTGATACTGGTATTTCCAGGACGCCGTTCCGCACCCGTCGTACGTCAGGTTGATCATCTCCTTCATCCAGAACTCTTCGGCCTTGCCTGCGTGTCCGAGTCAGACGGGACGCGTCGAGGGGTACGGGTTTTGGGGGATCAAGTGAACCGTCACTTACAGCCACTCGAGGTGCGCATGGTGTTGAAGACCTGTTTGCAGGTCCCTTTGCAGGTACCCCCCTCTATCGGGCTCCATTTCAGGGTGACGGACTTGGCTCTGTCCACCATGTAGTTGGATTCGGGTATCAAAGCGTTGAAGCCATTCTCCAAGGAATCGCCATACTGCTCGCAGATGTAGTTTACCAGGCTGCAAAACATGGGAACGTCAGCAACGGCCGATAATCCGGAGGATTCGACCGGAAACGAGGAGGACCTACGGCGTCCAGTTGTAGTAGTAAACCCAGTTGTTCTTCGGGCACCATAGGGACCAACTGGGCTTGTCGTCGGCTGTCGACAGCGTGAGGTCGTTCGTGGCTTGCAGGCCCGCCGCATCACTCATCTGGCTCCTGGCTACGATCTCTTCCACCGAGGAGGCGCAGGCCCCGACGTCAACCTCGCCATTGGGGGCATGGATGATGTTGGCGGCCGCTGAAGAGCACTGCACATTGGTACCGAGGGAGAACACGGCTAGGATAATATGGAGTGTGGCGTGCATTGTGCCGTGTTGCTGATGGGCTTCTTGGGCAATGGTGTCTTTCAAACGAAGTTGCGCTCAGGGTTACGATATGAGAAGTCAAGTATGATAGGTTTCTGAGCCGCTCAACGAAGTAAGGTAGTAGCTGAATGCTACGCGGGACTGGCGATGGATAATGGGCCATTTTCAATGGTCTGGATGGAACACGATCAACTACGCCGAGCCCCCTTTTTATCTTTGCCCATACATCGTGGCATTACTTAGATTGAAATGGAATGGGAAATGTAGAAGGCGGGCTTGACAAGAACGATCGTGTCTGGCTACCCGTGATACTGCTTAGGCGTCCTGCATGGGTTCAAGGCATCGCCAGGAGCGATAACAGCTTCAATCCCATGTTCACGTTGCCTTTGCAATTTGCAACATTCATCTTGCTGAAACGCAAGTGAAAACCCAATCGGAAGATCAAGAGAAGTTTCCGCCTCCTTCGTGATACCGGATTGCTGGTTTCACCACTCGACTGTCCCCGCCTGCTCAGGAGACGGTTCATCAAACTTGTTAGCTCGGACTCGCACCAGTGGAAAACGGCCAGTGCAAGCGATGTTCTGAGCGCCATTCCAAAGCAGGCAAACAATACTCATCTGACCTTGCTCGTCTAGGCAGCTTCACTTGGATGGCAGAATTGTGTTCGTGGAAAATACCTCCCTCGAAGCCCTCCCGGGCATATTGCTGAACCCCAACGCATCTATTCCCCTCCATCATGCTTGGCAACGCAAGCCCTGAGGCTTTTACATCCGGATCTTGTGATGATATGCGTCTGCGTCACCGGGCTTACGGTGACGGCCCTTGGAGTGTGCGGTTGGGGTCACAACACATTGAGCGATGTTGGAGATAGAATCCCCAGTTGTCGGGAGCCGTCGGGAGGCCGGGAGAGTTCCTCCAACCTGGGCCATGGATCAAGCAGATACCCCTATCGGCTCGAAGCGCCCACCGCAACGGTCCGACAGGAGTCAAGTCAAAGTATATGGTAGGTATCCTTCCGCAAGCCAGCACGGTATCAGCACGCAGAACAGAACTGCTCCGTCATTCATAAGCATACGCGAGCAATGTAGTGCAAAGGCATCCATTCGGCAATCCCAAGGTTGAGCAGGATGCTCAGAGCCACTCGGAAGCCTTCCGGGGACTATACTGCCGATGCGGTTCCGGTCACCAGGGTGGACCTGCGGCGGACGTTTTATCGTCATCTGGAGTAAGTGGTCACGAAAGATTATCTTTTTTCTTTTGTTAGGTGAGATGACTGATCTTACCATGCTGTCGAATCCCTGGGCAACACACATGATCCACGCGATGATGGCACAAACACGCCGGTTTCCGTTCACGTTGAACGGCGCATCTGTCCAGGAAACTCTGTAACGTCCCGCTCTTGTCGAGGGGTCTTCGCTTTTTTCCCTGCCGGGGAGCGATCTGCGTTGCACCGGGAGCCGGCAGGCCTCCCCCAGCCCGGTGGCTTCGCCCGCTCGATCCCCAAAGATTCCCCGGGTGTTTCTCCGTGGGCAGCCCCCAAGGGTCGTCGAGTCGTCAGGCGAGCACGCGGTGTGCGACCCAAACACATCCCTATTTCTCCGCAGGGCAAGAGGGGGGCTGTGGTGTTGCAGATATTTCGACGAGTCGGGTGAGCCATGTTGACGAGACGTGACCTATGATGTGCTCTTCGAGAATGGCACCAAATGGACAGAAAAGCCCGAATTGCTATAATTGCACGAGGACGGGGATGTGAGGACCTTAGTTGAATCCGAATTTTTAGCCATGACGCAGCTCCAGCTCATCATTACACTACGACTACCGAATCATTTTAGGTATGTGTTGCAACGACGGCTCTGTTAACTACGGGCAGTAGTCAACGCCTTATATCATTTGTGGCTGTATGCGATGTTCTCTTGTCGCTATATGCAATACGGTATGTTGGGCAAGGGGACCCCCCAGCTACCTAGTCCGTATAATGCGCTTCCGCCATCCACATCCGGCCGACGCCACTAGATCTCTTCGGAGCCGAGGTTTGCTGCTGGCGAGAAAGATGTAACTGTTGGGAACAATGGGTCATGGGTCAAACTGGTTGTGTAAGGCAACAAGTCAGGCCATCAGGACACAGGTATCATCAAGATAACCCGCGTAGGTCGAGATGGTCAAGATGACGTTTGAAGGCTCGTTAGTCCAAAACAAGACCTTGGGATGGCAAAATGGAACGGCAATTTTCTAGATTATTCGAATGATGGCGCAACGCCACCGAGCACGGCTGATATGCACACTAGGTAGTCAGAACCAAGATAGTTAAATGCACGTCACGATCAGCCAATCGCGAAGAGCTGTTTCTTTGTGCATCGCAAGGGACCCCAACATTCGTCCCAAGCCTATAGACATGTGGACCAATCGCCGACGAAGAGTGCACGCTTCCTCCCGACAAGGTGTGAGGCGTATCGACGACCAATGAGCAGGCGGCCAGGCTAAGCCAGTCCCGAGAACTGATTTGTCGGCCTTATTGTCGCCACGATGGAGATCCCTCGGTGTGGGTAAGGAGGAACGAACCCCTTGCGTGATGAGACGAACCCGTGGCGGAGCGACCGAAGACTGAGATCGCCATTTAGTAGGCAGCTTCGTGATATTGGATGCAGGCCCTTCCATGAAGGCTAACGTTGTGGGTAGCCTAGCCTTGGATAGCAGGGTGACAGCTGCACCACCCCGGACATGGGCATCGCATAACCTAATGCTATGTCGCCATGTGGTTTCCTTGAGCAAACGAGATTACATGAAATGTGCAGAGACCGAGGCCGAGAACAGCGGACTTCCGTCAGGCTTTCCAGAAGGGGACATGTCTGACAGAAGAAGGATGGACGTTGAAAGGCTGGCAAAACTGGCAAAAGCCAACCCCCTTCCCCCCTCCTCATCCTTCCCACCTATACGAATGGACCTCTCTGCTGCTGCTGTTGCCATTGTGGTGGTGGAAAGACTTTTTGTCATGATCCCACACGCCAAGTAATGCCCGAAGAGGAATGTCTTCGTCGCGCTGACCTGTTGGCCTTTAACCAGGCGGGCGGGGCCATCTTGGCGCAGAACCGAGTTTAGTACGGATAGCTGTGCGACAACCAACCTCGCCTCCATAGTCTAGGCAACCGGCAGAGTCACTTTGAGAAGGATCGGTGTTCGATAACATATGAGCAACGCATTGGCTGGTGTCCCTTCTTTGCTGCTGGACCTGGTGGAGTGTTCAAAGAAGACCGGATCAGACAAGATCAGACCAGACCAGATCGGCCATTTGAGTGTGTCGCTGAGCCCAATGGGACGGAATAGGTGGAAACTATCATCTGAGCATGGGCTAGGACATAGTCCGAGTTTGTTCGCAACGGCCGCAGGGGGGAAGCAGGCAAGCGGCGCGCAGAGTCGCAGCTCGCAGAGAGAGGAGCTTAGATTACGAGGAAGGTCAAGAGGTCGCGGCAACCGCCGCGGTAGCCCCGTGCCGTCGATGCATGTGGCCGCTCGCTTGAGATGGACCAACCCAGAGGCATGGAGACGAAGTGTATACGGATACGGAGTACTTGATGAAATAACTGTTACTCATCACCGGCGCATGGCATCGGTCGGTGTGTGGAGAAGAGGCGGAGGTCTCAGGCCTGTCGGTTCGGTTCTGTTCTATCAATTCGGTCAGCCAGGTGTCTCCCGCCGTTCCCAATACGATACGAGATACCGCGCAAACAAAGCAGGGGAGGAGAGACAAGACGAGACGAGACACATGTACATGGGCGTCTCATTCTCTCGTGCAACCTAAGCATTGCCAATAGAGTCAAGAGATCAGGCCGAGGTCGCCAAGTCTGTTGGGGCAGCAAAAGTACCTTTCCTATCGAACTTTTGAAAGTCTTGGTGAGGGGCCAGAGTGCTTGGCTGCTCTTGCCTCTCTGCGCCGAGGGGAAGGAAAGGTGGGAAGGTGGTGTGGGCAGGCAGGGAGGCTGAGAGCACCTGCCCTGCATTGCACGGAAAGGTTGGTACTCTTTTGTGTGTGTGTGGAGGAAAGAAGATAGACGTCTCGGCGGTGACTTGGCGGCAACTTGGCGGCAGGGGCAACATGACCGATTCGGGAGGTGGTCGCCGGGAGCTCACAGAAAGAAGTGGGGCTCACCGCCGCCTGGCTTCTCGTGATAAGGAAGCTGCACAACGAACGGCGTCCTCGCGCCTGCCCCAGACGCGCTCACGTGCCCTTCTGCCACCTTATCTACCTACCCAGGTCCTTACCTACCTACCTACCTAGGTACAGGTACCTAGGTAGGTAGGTACATTCCTTTGTACGATCAAGGAAAGAAGCAATAAAGCCAGCAGAGCCAATTGCCAAGCAAGACAAGTCGGCAGCAGCTCAACCGCACGGCGGAAGTTTAACTCCTTGGAGCAACAAATATTGGCACATCACGGCGTCGCCGCCAATCGAGCGACATTCCAATCGCCCTCGCAACCTCGCAAATTACCCAGCAAATAAGCTATGCGCGACAGTAACCGAGGGTTGAGATCGAAGACATCATCATTGCCCCCTCCTTTTGCTGGTCGATAACAGGCTTGGCGGCCCGCCCAACTACAATTGGCCCTTTACCACTGTTGGTTCCTTTCAACGAACCGGCCTCACCATGCCATCTCATGGGTCTTCAGCCGCCACTTCGGCCCCATGGCACGAGGGAAAAGTTCCATGGCCCTGCTAGACCCTTGCCCTCTGCATATTGGGTCCCGGATGCCTGGCCGAGACGAGCGACTATAGTGAGTCTACCGAGACCCGAGCAATCGATGCAAATGTTCAAAAGACTGCCGGCTTCCGCCCTCTCTGGCCTTGGGCCCGGTCTCTTTCTCGCCCGACATCCAAGCCAGGTCTGTCTTTATCCAGAGCCAGCCAGGAAGCTCAGTCAAATTCTGGTCGACCAGTCGCCCGTCAGTTCTACTACCGGCAAGGCAATCAGACACCCGTCAGAATGGTGGCCACGAACCCTGCCCCGGGGCCCATCCAGGCCGAGACGCAGATTCCCTCGGCGGATCCTGCCTACGACCTGACATGCATCACCGAGAAGAACCGCTACTCTGAGCAGAACGACGAGCTCAAGAGCGAGACCAGCGGCGATGAGGACATCACCGACCTCTTCGTCCCTTTCCCCGAGGTCAAGGGCATCGAGCCCGAGGGCAACCCCTTGACCTTCCGCGCCGTCCTTGTCGGAATCATTCTGGGTTCCCTCGTGAACGCCTCCAACGTCTACCTTGGTCTCAAGACTGGCGTATGTTCTAATCAGTCCCGATTCCTCCGCATACGTTAGGCAATGGCTAACACCAACACCAGTTCAGCTTCGCTGCGACCATGTTTGGTGCCATCTTCGGCTACGCCATTGTTAAGCTTCTGGCAAAGTCTCTGCCCAATACGCCCCTCATTGGAGGCGCCTTTGGCCCCCAGGAAAAGTAAGAATATTTGCCCCCCTCTCTCTGCTCGGCCATATTACACAAGCAACTAACATGAAACTAGCTCCATCATCCAGGCGGCTGCCACTGGTGCCGGTGGTATGTCCGGTCTCTTCGTGGCCGCCCTTCCCGCCATGTACCAGCTCAACCTCATGTCTGAGAACCCCCGCGAGGACTTTGGCCGTATCCTTACCATCACCGTCACCTGCGCCTTCTTCGGTCTCTTTGCCGCCGTTCCCCTGCGCAAGTTCTTCATCATCAATGTTGCCAGGGAGTTGAACCTCGTCTTCCCGACTCGTAAGTCATGTTCACCACCAAATCTTGGGTAGCCGGCCAGGTTCCTTACCAGTCCGAGCTCAACTCGCTTGCGTATCTCGCGGGACCAAAGCTTACTTTGCGCGAACCAGCTACGGCAACTGCCCTGACCATCCGATCCATGCACGCCGTCGGTAGCGGTGCCGCCGATGCTACTAAGAGGATCAAGACACTGGGCATCTGCTTTGCCGGTGCCCTCGTTCACATCGTCGTCTCTCAGTATGCTGACGGTATACTGCACAACTGGTACATCTTCCTGTGGTTCTACGTCTGGAGTGGCTACAAGAACTGGGCCATGAACATCAACAACTGGGGTATGTCCCTTCCACACTTTTACCTCCCTTGAACGTCTAGCTGACAGAATTCAGGTTGGTACATCCAGCTCACTCCCGCCTTCTTCGGCTCCGGTATGCTCGTCGGCATCAACGCCGCCCTCTCGTGGTGGCTCGGAACCGTCGTCGCCTGGGGTGTCATCGGACCTACTCTCGTTCACTACGGCGAGGCTATTGGCGTCCAGAGATACCCCGATAGCGAGAAGTGGTCCGACATTGTCAACTTCGGCGTCATGAAGGTCAGCGACGACCCTGACTGGGTTCCGTCCCCCCGTTACTGGATGCTGTGGCCCGGTGTCATGGTCCTCGTCGTCTACTCCATGGTGGAGTTTGTCCTACACATCGGCGTCCTCGTCGACGGCGCAAAATTCGCCTTCCGCTCCGGCGCCCGCAGCATCAACAACCGCATGCAGTCGCGCGGCAAGCACAACACCTTCATCGCCAAGCACGCCGGCCTCGCCGACGTCCAGGACAGTCTCGTGGAGGACTTTGCACCCCCGAGCCAACAGGTTCCCATCTGGGTCTGGGCCACTGGCACCCTCGTCTTCACCGCCGTCGCCTGCATCGTCTGCCACGTCCAGTTCCACATGAACGCCGGCCTCGCCATCCTCGCCTGCCTGCTAGGTCTCCTCTTCGCCTTCCTCAGCATCCACGGTGGTGCCGTCACCGACTGCACTCCCCTCACTGCCTCCGCCAAGGCCTCCCAGCTTGTCTTCGGCGGTGTCACCTCTGGTCAGGGCCTCGATATCAAGGCCGCCCAGCGTATCAACCTTGTTGCCGGTGGTATTGCCTCAGGTACTGCCGATGTCGCCACCGCCCTGGTCTCGGACTTCCGCGTTGGCTTCCTCCTCAAGACCCCTCCCCACCTGCAGTTCTATGCCCAGGCCATCGGCGCCGCCGTCAGCGTCTTCCTCGCCCCTGGCGTCTTCGTCCTGTTCATGGCCGCCTACCCTTGCATCTGGAAGGAGATTGGCCCCGAGGAGACCTGTGCCTTCGGTGCCCCCTCCGTCCTGGCCTGGAAGGCTGTTGCCGAGGCTGTCACTATGCCCAAGCTGCCCATCCCCAGGTCCTGCGCCATCTTCACCATCGTCATGGGCATCATCTGCGCCCTCCAGGCTGTTGTCAAGAACTTCTACCTCGTTGGCCCCCGCATGAAGTACCGCGACTACCTCCCCAACTGGATGTCCATCGGTGTCGCTTGGGTCCTCGGGCCCGACAGCGGCTATGCCAACGCCATCATGGCCGGCGCCGTCTTCGCATGGGCGTGGAAGAAGTACGCCCCCAAGAGCTTCGAGACCCACTGCTTCGCCGCCGCCGCCGGCCTCATAGCCGGTGAGGGTTTTGGAGGTGTCATCAACGCCGCTATCGAGCTCGGCGGTGTCAGTGGCAGTGTCCTCGGCTCCGAGATCGCCCTCCCTGGTGGCGACTGGTAGATAAAATGAATGGATGAAAGACGACGTGGTATGCCTACTGTCAATGCGCGAACGTACGATAATTGTTTAATGCTGTGGGGATGGGGGCCGTTGGCCATTGGTTTGATTCTCGATATACCCTGTTACAGAGATTTCGGACATGGACAGAATCTGACGTTCCATTATCAAACATTTGTCCCTTCTGGCGTGACTTGAAGTGATGCTTTTGAGATTTGTTCCATTGCAAGACGTTGATCGTAGATGCGATACAGTACTGTTGAACCCCGGGGTAAACTAATTGTCGAGTTCAGGGTAAGTGAGGGGATTTGGACATGGCGCTCCCGCGACCCAATTATGATTAATAAAATTCGTGGATTTGTCTATCCCTTCAACACCCAGTACAAATGCAAAAACTGTAAAGCTTGGATGAGCCACCATGAGCTAAATTGTATGCCGTATCGTTGCAGCGCCATCGTGCCATCGTCCAAACACCTACGGCTCCAAAAAACAAGGGGGAAAACAAACAAACAAAAAGCTCCATGTTCCATTACCTCATGACCCCCTGTGTGCTCTCCAAAGCTCTAATTTCTTTGCGCAATGATCCGGTAGCTGGTTGTCACCAGCCGCATGGTGTCCATCTTGACGAACGCCTGCCCATCCAGGCAGAGGCGGTTGATGAGCGTCTTGAAATGGGGCGGCAGCAGGCGGACCTTGACGAGCCCGAGGATGACCTGGCGCAGGCTGCGGAAGTAGACGTCGACCTTGTCGATGAGGGGCGCCTGCAGGCCGCCGACGCTCGCGTTGTCCGAGACAAGGACGGTGAAGCCGGCGCCGGTGAGGGCTGTCTCGAAGGTCTGGGGCGTCGGGGTGCCCACGGCGCCGATGAGCGGCTTCGTGCGCCGCATCAGCTCGGCATGCTCCGGATCAGCGGGGTCGTAGGCGGGCAGGCTGACCCAGTCCAGCAGGGAAACCTTGGCGCCGGGGCGGAGCACGCGGCGAAGCTCGGCGAACAGGGCCGGAAGGTCCTTACACAGGCTGAGGGCCTGGATCTGGTAGAAGGCGTCGAAGGAGGCGTCGGGGAAGGGCAGCGGCAGGTCGTTCATGTCGTGGACGGTGAACTGGTTGCGCAGGCCGAGCTGGGCGTTGAACTCGTCGGCCTGGGCGACCTGGTTCGGGTCGATGTTGAGGCCGGTGACGAGGGCGCCGCTGACGACGGCCATGTGGGCCGCGACCCGCCCGCGGCCGCAGCCAAAGTCGAGCACCCGGTCGCCCGGCTTCAGGCCGATGTCCCGCGCGACCGACTCCTCGTACAGCATCTGGTTGTCGAGGACCGAGGCGCGGGCGTCCATCAGGGGCGGGACGTACATCTTCTCGACGTCGCCCAGCGCGCAGAGGTGGTTCAGCACGCTGTAGTACGACTGCAGGCAGTCGCCGACGCGGGCCCGGTAGTCGGGCCCCAGCGCCTCGACCATGGCGGCCTCGTCAGCCCAGTCGAGGTTGTAGATGACGTACGACGCCATGAAGTCGTCGACCTGCTTGGGGGTCAGGTCGCGGAGGTACTTGAACGACTTCCAGAACGTCGTCGAGCGCTTCGGCGTCGCCGTGCGGTTGATCTCGGCCTTGTTGTCCACCTGCGCCGCCGTCGCCGTGGCCGTCTCCGTCTTCTTCCTCCACGATGCCTGGGTGGCGGGCTTCAAGGGCGAGACATCGTCCGACGTCTCGCTGATCCGCGGACTGCTGTTGTCGCCGACGTTGAGTGTTTCCGCCGCCGCTGGCGGTTGCGCAATGGCTGGCGCTGGTGCTATTGCTGCTGACATGGCCGCGAGTGATATAATCCGATGACGTAGGGGCAAACACCGAGAGGGGGAGGGGTTTAATAGCGCCCGTAGCTGGATGTGAGACTACCACGGGTGAGGGAGGGGGGGGGAGAAGGGGAGAAGGAGAGAGAGAGAGAGAGAGAGAGAGAGAGAGAGAGAGAGAGAGAGAGAGAGAGACAGAGATAAGATCAGCTGGGTATCACAGTGTGCATCTCAGAGGAACGCGAGAGCAGAGGAACGGGCCGATGGGCAGGTAAAGTCCTTTATACATGGTGACCTCCCTTCTTTCGTTTCGAGCATCCGTGTACCGGGGGCTAAGGCAGCGCCAGTCAACAATAACAATAAAGATGTGATGGAGCCGCGAACCGGATTGCTTTCTAGTCTCTCTCTCTCGGGACTCACGGACGAACCACCGGCGGTGCTGAATGGACCACCAAATCATCGGACCACTTAAATTATCCCTCTGAGCTCTGGTGACACTAGGGGGCTAGTTGAAGCCCGTCATTAGCTACTAGGTAAAGCGGAAGGCGGGAAATCACGCGGGGTTTTGGATGAGCGTACTAGTAAGACAGTCCAGTCAGCATAAGGCGGCTCCTCAAACCTGTTGAGCAAAAAAAGCCGGCGGGAACGCGCTGGACCTTGGCACAGTGAGTCAACGCCCCCTTTTTTTTTTTGGGTTGCGTCCCATGAGTCCTAAGTCTTTGTGACTTGTTTGCTTGATAGAGAACGTGGCATCTGGCGGTGTGTCTGTGTCTGTCTGTGTGTGCGTGTGCGTGTGTGTGAGTATGCACTCCTCGCATGTCGCAACCTGTCCGACCTGCTCTTCCTGTGCCACAGGTTCCCTGCTGCGTTACAGTTACGACATTTTTTTCTCTCTCTCTCTCTCTCCCCCTTCCCTTTCCCTTTCGCCGTTCGGACCTCTATCTTATCCCGCTGTTTGTTGATTCGCCACGAAGACGCGGCGGCTAGCATCTACACGTCATTGTGGCGCTCTGCCCGAGTTGAGAAGTCTCTGTTTTCTCTGCTAGCTTTGCTCCTGACGGTCGGTTGTTCCCAAGGCAAATCTGCCGAGAGGGGTGGCTCCAAAAACCGAAACACTCTACTGGCCGCGATCCACGGGTTACATACCAGTTCCAAATAGGGCTGGCGTGGAAGGGGGGGGGATTTTGCCGGCGTGGTATTAAACTGCCGGTGCCAATAACGCTTTATTAAGGTCCCGAAAGGAGGTCAAGCCGGCCGCTTTGCGTCCCACGCACAGTCCGTGTGGCTTCGCCTAGCGCAAGACAGCGGAACGGCCGGGTGTGCTTACGTCGTGAACTCATGAGCGAAAAGGGGGGGGGGGGGGGATGCAAGATTTGCGTGTGTGCAGATACCGGGATTTGCATCTTGGAATTGAGATAAGCATCCCGTGTGACTGTTTAAGCTTTTCTCGAAAATTGTCCGTATTCCTTGGGGCCTGCTTTCAACACATCCTCAGTGGACGCAATTGTGTATGCAAGTGGAGCGGCGGCAAGGGACGGTCCGCTTCTACAAATATAGTGAATCCATTATTCGTGTCCCGAGAAGTGAAGTTGTACCTGTATGTTCCCCCAGTATGAATACTGTTGCATCGACACTCTTAGCACCATTTTTGACCGGGGACACCTGGTCTTACATGCGGTTTTTTCCCTTTGCGGCCCCCAGGCGCACCTTGTTGTGCTGATGTCATACGGTTCTGGCTTGTTTGTTGAGGATTGTTTGAGTGGCTTGCTGCAGCTCCAAGTCAAACATTCAATGCTGGCCAGTAAATCCGAAGCGAACTTTTATTCTGCTATTGTCAATGTTACTGGGGAGTAGCGCCACAGCGCCTCGATGGCCTGTCTCGGAACTCTTTCGCACGGAGCGTCACATGATTTGTATGCAAACAAACTTTACAATCCCTTGATCCCTTGATTTCCAGCCTTATCAACCATGGTATTATTGTAAAGAGTGCGATGTATGGAGTTTGATAAGCTTTCATAACCAGAGTCGGTGCAGCAAAATATTGCTGTCGAGGGCCACGTTCACTGAGCACTCGTATCTACATCAAGACACAAAGGTGGCGATACCCAAAGCAGTAATGTTCCCGGACGACCATTGTAAAGAAGCTCGGTGTATATCGCTCTCAGACCGAGTTCATATATCTATCTCATCGCCAGTGACGAAGCCACTGCAGGAGCCTTTGACGGACTCAAACGCTTCATTCTGTCATCTTGCTCCCCTACGGAAATCGAGACGTGGTTTTTTTTTTTTTTTTTGCGGTACATGAATGGAATCTGCGCGTTATGAAATGATGTCTTGTCGATTTTCCTTTCGTTTGTCTTGCTAAACAACCAGCCTGCCTTCCAGCTGCGTCTCGTTGAGCTCGGGTTTCTCATTCGACGGAATACGGTGTTTTATTCATTGTTACAGTAGCATTTGGCCTCAAGCTTTCTCTTGCATTTATAGATAACTGAAACTATAACTCGTAGAAGATGTTATGAGGGCAAAAGGGTTTCCCATTCTCTCAACAGAGACAAAGCGCTGAAATGGACAACTGTGCGAATAAATGGCAGCGTTTCTAATGATGTTCTCGATTCCAAGTCCGACTCAAAACTTTTCTTGATCTTCCAAGCGCTATTCAAAAATGGTCTCGAGGTAGCGGTATCGATGTTCGATATTTGGTAGTTGGGCTGCATCTCATCATTGTGTCGGCATATGGTGGGCTTGCTTGATGGATATCTTGATATCAGTCACGTTACAACCGCCTATCACTCGCCATCCCTTCACCTTGAAAAACTTGGAGATAACTTGGGTCGAGACAGTGGACGCTCATACTGCATTTTTTTTGGTTTCAGGCATAGCAATTTGGATGCCCACGCAAGTTTGTGACTGGAGACGCAGCTTCCTGGCCTTGCAGTAGGAATTTGACAAGTTGTCTTGGTTGTAGAATGTAAACCACCTCCAATTTTCATCGCAACTTGAACCTTTATGAAGTGTTTTTTCGTTTAAACAGTAAATGTACCTGGTTATACGTGCAACAAAGGGGTCATGGTAAACTTGAATAGCGTCTACATTGAGCGGTTTGCCACAGTTTTGAGAGTATCGTTATCCTGGTTTCTTCTATATGCACTAACGACATGAAGCGAATGCAATGCTAAGGTATTATATGAGTATACAGATTTGATGCCAATCCAGCAGTTCTGTGTTTTCGGAACCAATGTGGCATCCGTGCAAGCAACGTACTTTTACCCCTTCCATTACGGACCAATAACCACAAATCACTCAACGGGCTCTTACTGCAGCATCTGTTGCATGGCGTTGACCCTGTAGCTCTCCCTCCTCTCCATAAGCTCCTGGTGTGTTCCGCTGTCGGCGATCTGTCCGCCTTCGACCAGCAAAATCACGTTGGCCTTGTGCACGGTGTGGAGGCGATGGGTAATCGCCAACACAGTTGTACCGCGGGACGCACGCTCGAGGCCCTCTTGAAGAGCCGCTTCGCTGGCGGCGTCCAAGGCACTTGTGCTCTCGTCCAGAAGCAACAGGCGCGGCTTACGGACGAGAGCACGGGCAATAGCCAAACGCTGTCTCTGACCGCCAGACAGGCGAGATGCAGAGGGGCCACACTCGGTGTCGTACCCCTCGGGGAGAGCCATGATCACGTCGTGAATGTTGGCCAGCTTGCAGGCCTCTTCGATCTCGGCCTGGGTAGCCTCGGTGTCGGGCGACGAGCCGAGACCGACGTTGAAGCGAACACTGCCGTCGAAGAGGGTCGGGTCCTGTGGAACGATGGCAACGGTGTCTCTGAAGGAGCTGGGAAGGTTGGCAATATCTTGGTCATCGATAAGAATTTGGCCCTGTGAGGGAAAGTAGAGACGTTGGACAAGGTTCATGATGGTCGACTTTCCAGCTCCAGAAGGACCAACAAGACCACAGAATTGACCAGGCTGGAGGGTGAAGGAAACGTTGTCGAGGATGTTGATGTCGGGACGGCTGGGGTAGGCAAAAGAAACGTTCTTGAAGGTGACTTTGACGCCGCCCGCATTGGGTCTCTTGGTCCTGGCTTCTGCGGTAGACTCAATATCTTCCTCCGTCTTGGAGTCTCCGACAATCTGCTTCTGCTCGGTCCCAGTCTTGCTGAGATCATCGTTCTTCCCGAGATTGATGACTGACATGATACGGGACAAGGCGGTACGAGCACGCGAGAACTCGGGAGCCAGGGCGAACATGGTACCCCACAGCTGGGCGCTGACAAGCATCGCCATCAATATAATCAGGAACTGGGTCTGGGTGTATTCGCCTTTCATAATGAGTTGCGTACCCCACCAGTAGGCCAGGGCGTTGACGAAAGTGCCGGTGGTGTTGGAGATGGCCAACCAGATGTTGGTGGAAGCCGATGCGCGGACCATCTGCTTCTGAGGCGGAGCGAGAAGCCGAGCATAGTTATCCATCACCTGGCTCTCGAGGGAGAGGGCTGCTACGGTCTTGATCGACTGTACGGCCTCGGTGGCCACAGACGTGGCGGTCGAGAAGGCAGCTGCGTGACGCTCTTCGTAGCGGGCCAGCATGCGCAGCTGCATGAATCCAGAGCCCAGAAGTATGGGGAGGGTGACCAGGCAGACAAGAGCGATCTTCCAGGCGATGATGTGAGACAGGATCACGCCAGCGAGGATGTTCACGCAGATGGCGAACACGGTGCCGACGGTGGAACCACTGAAGCCACCAATGGCAGCACTGTCCTTGGTAATAATGGTAAGCAGACCGTCGGCGGTGCGACCGTCGGACTGATGCCACTGAACGTCTTGGTCCAGCAAGGAGCGGAAAGACAAGACGCGAACGGAGTAGAGAAGCTTCTCGGCCACGACGCCGAAGCCGGACCAGGCGAAGAAGTTGGCGAAGAGCTCGATAGAGGCAAGGCCAAACATGAGACCGGAAAAGAAGCGTCCCATGGACAGAATGCGTTCGGCGGTGCTGGCACAGGGGTTAAGAGCTCCGACAGTGTAACCAAAGATGAGACCAGCGCCGGTGAAGGTGCCACCGACAATGGTAGCAGCAATGATGGCAACCACCAACCAGGTCAAGGAGGGCCTGACGAGTCGGACAAGACCTTTGATCACGGTGCTGTAAGGCTTCACATCATCTAGGCCGGCGATATCGGACTCCTTCTTTTCCTCGGCGTCGCTTTCCTTGTCACTGAACTTGACGTTATTCAAGCTCTTTGTCGCAACATGCTCTTCGGCACCATTGGACTTCTCGTCGACAACATGGTCACCCTTGAGAGAGCAATCAAGGGAGTCACCAGAAGCAGAGCCGGCATCGAGCGCACGATCAGCGGTACCCACCGTCTGTAGCCTAGCCATGCGGGCAAAGGCGCCGTCCTCGCGCGCCATCAATTCGGTGTATGTACCCTGCTCGACCACCTGACCGGCATCCATGACGACGATGCTGTCCGCGTTACGGATTGTGGAAAGACGATGGGCGATGGAGACGATGGTGCGGTTCTCTGTAGCAGCCTGCTCGACGGCACGCTGGATGCGCTTCTCACTGGCAGAGTCGAGGGCGGAAGTTGCCTCATCCAGTACCAGAATCTTGGGGTCGCGGATCAGAGCTCGAGCGAGAGCGATACGCTGGCGCTGGCCACCACTGACGAGAGTGCCACTAGGACCGGCCGAGGTGCCATAACCGTCGTCGAGGCGGTTGATGAAGGTGGCGGCATCGGCCTGCTCGGCAGCGTGACGGACGAGGTCGATAATCTCCTGGATCTCGGGACCATAGTTGTTGGCGGATGACAAGGCGTCCTTGCCCTTGGATGCCAGCTCGGCCAACTGGCCACCGCTGAGGAAGGGTTTCAAACGCTGGTGCTCTGGCTTGGGCGAGTTGATCAGGCCGAGGGCAATGTTCTCCAGGATCGATCGATCGAGAAGTGAGGGCTCCTGTTGCACGAAGCTGATGAAGCTGCGAAGGCTGCGCACATTGAGCTCTCGAATATCGTGGCCGTCAAGCAGGATTTCTCCCTGGTTCGGGTCTTGGAGACGGGCAAGGAGGGCGGCGATGGTGGACTTGCCGCTGCCCGAGAGACCGACGACAGCAGTGTACTTGCCAGCAGGGAACTCAACATTGACATTGCGCAGAACGGGCTGGCCGGGCCTCGATGGGTACTCGAAAGTGACGTCGCGGAGCACGATGCCCTTGGGGTCGTCCAAGGGCAGGACCTTGCCCTCCTCGGAGGTGCCATCAATTTCCGAAGGAGCCTCAATGTCCTCCTGTAGCCGCTGGTACGCAGCCGAAGCACCCCGGAAAGAGGGGAGAAAAGGGGCGATGGCGCCGAGCATGACGCAAGCTAAGGCGCAAGCCAAGTGTCAGTCATCTTTGCCGAAACCATCAAGCGACTTGATGGAACATCGAGGTAGGCTTACCATCAACGAGTAGGTAAACAACCGCGTAGATCTCGCCAATTGTGGCATCGCCGCGGCCGGCAATGGAGTCGGCAATCTTGATACTGCCCTGCCAGAATGCAAGAGCGTTTCCGGCGTAGGCGATGAAATAGAGAAGACCAGCCTGGACAGCGACAACGCCAGCCTTCTTCATGCCGGCCTTGCGAGCAGTGATCATGTGGTCGGCAAACTTGGCCTCGAGACGCGGGCCAGCACCGAAGGCCTGCACGACGGAGATGTGGGACAGAGCTTCGGACGCAATGGACGAAGCCTTCCCAATCGCCTCAGTCATGTAGCCGGTGTTTTTCGCGATGTAACCACCGCCGAGGAAGGAGGAGAGCATGTAAGCAGGAAGCATGGAAACGAGCATGCCGGCGAGCTTGGGCTGCTTCATGAACGCAATGACGAAAACGGTGGTGAAGAAGCTTATGGTGCAGATGAGGATGCCCACCTTCTCCGAGGTGCCGGACTGGATCGCCGTGATGTCACCGTGGAGGCGACTAGACACTTCGCCGGCGGCAGCGCGCTTATCGAAGTAGGAGGGCGGCTGGCGCAGCAGAGCAGACACGTACTGCGTGCGCATGCGCTGGGCGAGGCGCTGGCTGATGATGCTCCACGAAAGAATGTAGCAGTAGATGGCAACGAACGCGATGGCGCCGACGTAGGACATCTGGATGACCTTCTGGTTGATGGCAGATTCGTATGCGAACGCGTCGATGTCGCTGCTCCCGTCGGCAGCGCAAGTGGCAGCGTTCATTTTGTCAACCAGCTGGCCAAAGAGGACACCCAAGAGGGGGAATGGCACACCAGCAGCGATGGCCATGAGGGTGCCGAAGATGATGAGGAAGTAATCGACCCATGTCGGGTTGGCGGCAAACAACAGGCGGAAGAAGATGAAGAATTCCTTGGTGAACTGAGTTTGGACACATTAGTGATCCATAGAGGGGAGTTGATATGCCGACGCTCTGCACTGGGCGGCGTCTTGTCTTGTTGCGCGCGGGCCTGTCGAGATCTCTTGGTGTTTTCCAGAGAGATGCGGGACGGCCCGGTACAGGCCAAGACGCCTGCAGCCAGTGCAGTACAGCGCAGGCACAGCGGCTGGGAAAGACTGACCGGCATGCCCTTGGGTTCTTCTTCCTTCGCCTCTTCTTGCTTTGCGGGCTTCTCGGTCACTGGAGGAGCTGCCTGCTCTGGCTGCTCCTGCTTCTCAAGTGCCGCCATCTTGTTACTTTGGATCGTCACCGGTTATCAGATCTGATCAGAGTCCCGAGCAGCCTGTTGGCTGTGGCGCGTGTTCTTACCCGGATCCCTTTGCTGGATCCTAGCCGAACGAGTCCAGCAGAAAGAGACAACAACGATCACCTAGGACGGAGGGAGGGGGTCAACAAGAGAAGGTTGGGCTGGTGGAAGGAAGTTCGAGAACACCTTTCGAGAGAACGAAAAGACAAGACAAGCAAGTTGGGCCGGGGTCTCTTTTTGTCCCCCTCACTGACTGCGGATACACGGATGCTGCAGGAATCTGCGCCCCCCCCCCCTCTCGCTAACAGGGGGGAAATTTTCAGAATCGACCGGTTTGCGTTGTCAAGGGCAGCACATGCGAAAATGGGCAAGGAGAAGGGACATGGCCGATTCCGGCGCTTGACCAGCGCGGGTTTACGACCAGAAAGAGGAGCGTACAGATCGGGTCGGGCGACGATCAGGGTGTCCTGTCCTCCGGACGGAGGAAGAAATTTTGCACTGGAGCCATGGAGCAATGAAGCAATGGAACCATTTATCCCCTCCTCGTGGGCCGGCAAGGGGGCGATGTGGCCAGTCACGATGCAGTTTGCAGTGCAAAGTGTGATCAGATAAGATGATCTGATTGATTAGATATGACGCTAGCAATGTCACTAGCCAGGTTAATTTTCAACCGGTGGGCTGAGTAGGGTTGACCCATGCGGGACACTCTTGACTCTCGTAGCTCGACCCGGGAAACGGAGAGCCAGTCCATGCCTCTCAACCACAGAAACGAAAGCCAATAGGGCGGTAGAAGTCGCGTACACAGTATTGAACTTGTGTGGCTCGAACTTGTGTTGCGGGCGTGTTGGGGGGCTCAGGGCCGTTTGCTATGATGATTATAATCGCTCTGCGCCTCATCCCCTTCTTGCTTTTTCAAACTTCATGAAATGGGCTGCATAGAGTCAAGCACCCGGAGTACATCTGACTGGAGATTGTGTGGCATTGCCGTCTCCCTCTTGCCACAGGCCTCTTCGTGTTTGCCCGTGCAGCTTACCTCGCCTGTTTGTGGGCACCGTGGTGTCACCGTAGCATTTTACGAAAGATCATCGCATTTACCCCACTCCAAAACCGAGCCGAGCTGGGTGGCACGCCGAGTTGAATGCTTGGGGAGCCACTCACTCTCTTCTTGAACCATGACATCCCATAATCGAGCTCTGTAGTAGCCTGTGAAGGATTTAACAATTCTTGAGAGATGACTCCATCCGGTAGAACCTGGTCAGAGTTGAGCCGTTCATGCCAGCCCAGCGGTCTAAGCGTAGATGAGATAACCTTGTTCAGACCTCACCGATTCCGATGCCCTGGGGTTGTCAGTGACCAGTTAATACGACTTCTTAAGACCGCAAATCTAAACTCCCTGACATCTCCGTTTCCTTACCTCCTAACATCTTCAGTGACGTCAGCATTCAGAGCTGTTCCGCGAACCGTTTGCTGTGCGTTTCTCGCAATGGAGACAACATCTCACTGGGTCAATAATCCTTCAGTATCTTTTGCTTGCGCCTCCAGTTATCAGATGTGCTGCATTTCTCCCCTTGCTTTTTTGGCTGCATTTCTTAGCTAACGAGGTCCATCGTCTCTGTGGGGTTGCGCTCTTTTTGTGTTGTGGCGCACACTAGTTCCCAAGACGGACAAGCCCCGAACATGACATGTGTGGACTTCGGCATACAGGACTGCGCCCTCCTATCACGGCACGCCATCCATACCACCCGATGAACTTTTTTTACTTTTTTAATTTTTTATCCGTGTGGACGGCGTCACCAGAGAGAATCCTATCTATAAAGCCCATCAATGCCGCCGTGCCGCAGATGAGAGGACCCAGGGGCTCTGTTATTCACTATTAGTAGCACCAGAACTATACTCCAGATATCATGGCGGAAAGAATAAAGATACTTCTGATCACCAACTCAGAGCCCTCGTATATTTCATTCTACTCTGACGATTTCGCAACCAGAATAGAGTAATACCTGGACATTGGAAAGTGCGACAGTGCGAGCCATGCCCCCAAGTGCGCCGCCATGGAACTCTGCCTCATTTTCAAGCAGGTCATCTTGGGTAAGAGCTCCGCGGGCTTCAAGAGAAGCAGTCAAATTGGCGGAGACTTGTAAGACGAACGATGGCGGTAGGAATCAGGATCATCGCTGCAAAGTCGATCTTGAGGGACTTGAGATGGTGAGCGGAGGAGCTGCATTAGAGATGATGAGCCTTCCAAGATGTCGATCCTCAGATCCAAGCCATATCATCATCCCCTGAAAAATGAAAAGTATTATTCATTCGTATGAGGCCTCCCCGTGAGCCTTCCTCGTCATGGCGCAAGCGATGTTTTGATTCTTGTCAATAATGCTCTCAGGTCACCGGATTTTTATAACTCCTTTGACGGTGTTGTGTTTTTCACTTGACTTCTACGTACTGTATAGCTTGGTAAGCCCAAGGGTTCGCCTGAAACTGTGTCACAATGAGGTGAAGTAATATAAGGCGTTATCAGTTATGCTGCTGCAACTAACAGCGTTGTTTTTACACAGCAGTTATAAGCCTAGTTTACGCTATATACCTTAATAGTATAGCCCTTAAGCTAGCGTCTAAGCTTTATAGACCTTATAGGTTTAAATCCTATTAATGTTAGGGATAGGTTATAAATACTCTACCTAGATTATTTAGATATCAACTGCCTAGACTTTAGTAATATATACTTAATTAGAAGGCTAATAAGAGTTATAGTAGTATCTACCTTAGGGGAGTGTGTACCTTTAGGGGGCTATAGAGGCTTCCTTCCTAGAGTAGATCTATATAAGTAGGGCTACCTATAATCTAGGGGGTATATTATAACAAGGTGAAGTAATATAAGGTGTCAGCCGTACTACTGTTACTAATGGCGTCGTTTTTATGTGATAAACTAATAACTAGTCTTAGTGTGTCTTATGTATCTATCAAAGCTTAGTTTTAAGTAATTATTAAGATAGTTTTGGAGTTAGAGCTTCAGGCAAGCAGAACTAGCAGTATAGCAGAGGCCATTGCACTATAATTGCACATGGATTGATGCAGCACAAGAAGTGACCTAAGTCAAAGTACCCACTTACCGACCACCCCCTCATTCTGACCACCCAAAAATGCCTCATCCACCCCCTCTATCTACTACAACCCTCCTACTTTAAACTATTACCACTTTTACCACCTTTATCTAAATCGCTTTATTTTTTGTATATGACTTCTTTATACCCCTATGGTTGAATATACCAAAGACTAGGTCCAGTAGGCACTAAATGCCATTACAGCTAGCGTTAGTTAGCGCTAGGCATCTTGCATCTATAGTATCCCTAAGACCACGTTATAGAACTGTCTATCTGGCACTACCTAGACCAGGTAGTCTGCTTTTTCTGACTATTAATGACTCTCTATTAGTCAGGAGGCTAGGCTAGCTAGTTAAGTGTAAACCTAGGTTAATCTTGGTTATCCTTTAACTTATTAATAACTAAGGGAATTTGCCTAGTGTATCCTTAAGGCTATAGGTGATAATAGACTAATTAGGAAGAAGTAGGTAAATGCCTTTATTAAGAGGAATCTATCTATTAAGGTCTAGAGAAGTTGCTTTATTAATTCTTGACGTGTTAATAGGGCATCTACTAAGGTTATTAGGGAATAGTTTAAATATCTTACTATCCCTTGTATTACTACTATTAAACTAGCTAATAGATATAATATAGATAAGACTAGCATCCTTGAGGGCAAAGGAGATAATAGGCTAGTGCTAGGCAGAGTAAAGACAACGTCTATAAAAAAAAAGTAGCCTAGATTAAGAGCCTAGGTATCTATTATTAAGTGTATATCTGCTAATAGTAATACTATTTATCTATTAGTTATATATAAGGGTAAAATAGTCTAGTAGTAGTAGTTCTCTCTAGATCTAAACCTATATAATAGGTAGTAGTTTATAGTAATAGAGAATAGATAGACTACTAATAATACTGCTGTTAAATAGCTATAGAAGGTCTTTATCCCTTAGACTAAGCCTTTTAACCCTAATTAGGCTAGACTACTAATCCTAGATAGGCATAGGAGCTATATAACAATAGACTTTATATAGTTATACTATATCTATAATGTCTATCTATTATTCTTACTACTATATACCTCCTATGTCCTCTAGCTACTTAACTAGGTAGTCTTTAGGCCTATAAAGGCAGCCTATTGCAAGGAGCTTAGATATCTAAGTTAGTAAAATAATTTAACTATTATTAGCAAGAGGAACTTTATTAGCTATTACTATAAGGCTTACTAGGCTAGGCTAACTATAGGTAATATTAAAAGTGGTTAGAAATACACTAGGTTATAGCCTATTGCTCTAGTAAAACCCTTGATGAGTAGGCATCTAGTCTAGAAGGTAATATTATTATTAATAGCACTATTAATACTACTTAACTAGAGGGTAAAAGGGGCCTATAGGGCCTAGGGTATAAAGGAATAGGCATCTGCCTTATCTGCGGTTAAGTGGTCTATGCTAAAGAAGGTTAAAGACCTTAGAGATTAACTACATCTATTTAGCTAACTAGAATAAAATATTACTATATAACGCTAGCTCTTTAGAAAGGTTAAAAAAGGCTTTAAAGAGTAGGCCTTTAAGTTAGCTACTGCTAAGCACTAAATACAGCTTCTCTAGGCTAAAGTTGATAATAGTACTGCTAGGAAAAAGAAGGCTATTACCCTAGATCTAAACATAAAGTTTACGACTATCAAAGAGGTGCAGTAAGCCTAGGTTGAGGCTAGTGATGCTGAAAGTGAGCTAGATGAATCCAGCGCATTAGAATTATCTAGTAAGGCTGAAAGTTGCATTATTGTAGCTTTAAGAGGTAGTTAATAGTTAATTAATAAAGTGGTGGTTGTTGTGATGGCATTATGATTCATGTGGTCGGAATGGGGGGGTGGTCGGTAAGTGGGTACTTTGACTTAGTCGATACGACAGCCTAGGTTACTTTCTCTTGAAAAGCTCTGTGTTGTCTGTACTTCAAGCTCATATTCTGGTATATTCACTTGGGTCATATATGAACCAGCTAGTTATAAAGAGACTCCTTTTTCTGTCGCCCAGCATCAAGTTTATCCGACGAACTGTAGTTTGTGGGTCTTGGAGGATGCTCTGACTGAAATACTTCCGAAACTATAGTCAGAATACCTTTGCAGCGGCATTGAAGAACACTTCGTGTGGCTCCACTAACTCAAAGCAATATAACTCACAATAGACTGGTATAGATATCATATTTTCTGAGACTTATACCACTCTACCTTTAGATCATCGCATTCCGTTTATGTGTCTGAGGACGAAGTCTGCCGCCTTGATTATGGACTGCAAGGTTACCTGCATTGCTAGTCCATGCCAAATTTCTTGGTTTACAAGAAATAAACATTATTGAACCTATAAAACATCGATATAAGAAATCGATTCTTTTATCCACCAAGTCATCCTGAAGGATCCTTTCCGATTCCACGAAACCGGGGTTGAAGACCCTTACAAATTAATCATTCAGCCTCACCTTGATGCTTCTTTTCTAGTGAAATGCAATCGGTCCGTCGGTGTTCTGGTGTCGGCGACTGAGACGCCGTCACAGTGAAATCTCCGCAGAATCTATTCTCTGTCTCTCATTGTGCGGAACCGAGCGCAAAGGCCCTGAGTAAATGCGCCCCATATATGAGCACCGGTCAGCACGGTTTCACACTCACTGTGAGGAATATTATCAGGCCCCGTGAGCATGTTCAACATAAGTGTTGTAAAACATGGATAGAGAAATAGAGGTTGGATAACCAGCGCTGATGAAGTGAAATTTGCCGCCAAATGACCCTGTTCGCGTCTTTTCTGAAACAAATCCATACTCTAACACAGAAATTCGGAGGCACCGCTCATCTTTTGCGTGGCGTGGCCATCGGAAAACTGGAGGCACTCACGTTGTGGCATGCATTGGCAATATGAGCAAAATGCCTATTTTGATGGCAAGTTTGACCATTCTGCCGGACGGTGCAACATTCCATCAAGAAACCTAGATATACGAGTACCCTTTTCGGTAGGAGTCATATGCTTGAAGTGTCATGCAACGGCGTCATCAACGGTTAATCCGTCTTGTTCATCTCGTGATGTGACCAGCCAGCCCTAAATGGGCAGCACATGTAGTCGGATAGGTCAGGCTCCGAACCGAAACCCCCCTTCCATCAATGGTCTATAAACCCGGACACTCAGGTACAATTTTACTCGAGCTCGCCGACTGACTTGGCGAATTGATTTAAGGCCAAATGCGGCGGTCTACAAATAGCCCAGCCCATAACGACACCCGCCTCATTTCTTCTGTATTGTGGCTGGGGCGGGCCTCATTTGGAATTATGCATAAACGAGCCAACATTGAGGTGGTCAGCACGCAGTGTATTCTAAATCAGACTGCTAATTACCGCCCGAGCTATCAGCATCCATAACATAGGGTTGACTTTGTTCGTCTGACGCCAAGAATCCTAGCTCGACAATCGGTGGTACTGCAGGCAGCGACACGGATGCTAGCAGATGGGATTTCTAGG